GTCATGTGATATTAAGGTCAGTCAATCAACTAACTGTTCAAAACATCAGCTTATCATTATTATTAATGATAATCATTTATCATCTATCTATCTATCTATATATATATATACATCCATATTATTACATAATCAAGAAAAATGAAATCTATTTAACCTTAATATTACAATATCATTAAAAGATGATGATAATAATAATATGTAAAGTCATTTATATACTACTAACAAACTTATAAAATAGGATTTCAGTAAACTCGGTTAATTTTTCAAAAAAAAAACAAAAAAAAAATCAAAGTATCCGTTTTTCATCACTAGTGATAATAAAAACCGAGAATATTAAGATTAAACGATAAATAAAAATAAAAAAATATTTTTTATGGTTAATTTATGTTAAGAAGATTAAATGGATACTAGTTAGTTGAACATTTAACACAGTAGTCCAATATTATTGACCTTAATTTTAATGTATCATCGACTACTTACTATTTTATTAGTAAAACAAGAAAAAAAGAAAAAGAAAAAAAGAAGGAAAAAGAACAAACTCTAAGTTACGGTAAGCAAAGATAGATAGTGGCTAGCATTGGAATCCAGGACGCTATATCGAGGCAATAAGCACAGTATTGTACATATGCCAATTAGACACTGACCAGTTGTTGTCCTAAAAACATCAATGGGAAGATTTAAACAATATTAAATGAACTTAATTTTAAGTTACGTTTATATTCTTGAATATCTAAATCAAACCTTTAACAAAAATTAATTTTTAAGGTTTACTTTGATTGAAATTAATTTTAGAGATTTATAATGTAAACTTATGAAAGGTTATAAGTTATATTAGACTTGTAAATCTATATTAGAAAACTGGAGAAGTGGTATATATTAGATGTTCTGAAAGCTGAACTTATTTAAGAGTTCAATTCATGAGTTAATCAGAGTTAGATCACCATGGAGAACCTGAAACCACTGTTTCGGCTGTTTCGTTCGACTATGAGACTCCTCGGCAGTATTTAGTGGTTCAGACCTTACTATTGATTGTATTTTGTTCAAAAACTTTGTTGATGAATACGTAGTAGCATTACGGGTAGATTCATTCCTTTCTGTTAACCATACCTGAATACGGAATATCACATTAAATCAACCATGACATTGATTCACTTAATCTAGTGGCATACTTCATTATAGTTGATAGGAATTTGTCAGCAATGAGAAATATACATTAATTTAAATCTAGTGGTCAATCGGTGTAGAAAATAAATTTCAGTTTCTCATATGATCATAAACTGATTAGTTTGATAATATTTATGTCATCATTAACTTAGATGTATTAAAACATCATAGTAGCCGTCACAGTTTGATCAAACTCAGTATAATGTTCATCAAATATCTAAAATATGTGGTATTGCTTTCATTATCAAATCACTGTACTAGTGCAATAGTAGTTCTTATAATTCTAAACTATGTGTTGAGACAACTTTGATTAACATTGGTTTATTGGTTACTCTGATAATATCCTCGTCAATCACCCAATTCAATTGAGAATAATCTATGGAGAAAGTATCAGTTAATCACTGTGCTATACTAACGATTGTTCAGCATTAATGTTGATATGATTTATTAGCTTATAAACTAGAAAAGTATATAAATTTTAAAACTGATTGCATTTAGATACTGTGTGGTGTTCTATATTTGCCAACTACCTACGAGAAAAATGTTCTTAGTCAGTTAGTTTCTACAGTTTCCCATTATTCCTAATCATGACTAAATGATGATCACTCTTTGTTGATATATGTTTATTTCTATAGGATCTTTGGACCTGGATCCAAGTGCATCTAGCTGACTGGTAGGAAGAAATACAAGTTTTGAATCTCACTGCTAAACGTAACGTAATCTTCTTTTTGTTCGATGATTTGTGAAGAATAATTTTACTCAGGTATTTGCCTTGTTCATAGACTGAAGAATCATTTGAAAACAAATTAATGTTTCATCATAGATTGGGCTTCTCAATAATTGCTCACTAATTACTTCAAACAGGTTTCGTAGTAAGTATAATAACTTTAAACTACTTAATCACGATTCAGTGACTCATAATTCTAACTCAAATCATTTCCCGATGCAATGCGATAGTTATTCAATGAAAACAATGAGTTGATGTTTTTTCTGTGACAATTTTAATGTTAAAATTTTATACAAATTGAAATACACTCACAAGTATTTACTGAATGAACAATGAATCAATTTGTAAGTTAACTTGATATTTTGATCATTTTGGCTTGTATAAATAAGTTATCATTTTTGTAAACATCAAAATTCTAGATTATTTAGATATTATCTTTAAACTATGATTCTAATAAGCAAAGGTGGATCGTGGTTAGCAGTGGAAATCAGGATACATGTTTTGTCCCATTTGGGACTCACTAACTGGATGTAACTGCATCTCAGAGTTCATATTCACTCCAAGACTTTAGCCTAGTACTACGATAGCAATTGAAACGAACGATAATGGGTTTGAATCTCTGAGTGAACATCAACTCCGAGATGTAGATACATGCAGTTCACGAGTCCCAAACTGGATTTCACTGATAGCCACTATTCATCTTTCCTTATAATATTTGTGAATTAAGGCAATATGAAAAGCATCCACATATACCAATAAGCGACTGATCAATTGCAGTTCTAAACATCAATGGGAATATTCAAATATACAATACCAAGTAAATTTATCATTATAATGGTTGAATTCATTAATCGATCTAAGCTAGACCATCATTGAAAACCTAGAACCAATAGACAGCCTTTTCATTCTAATACAGGACTCCTTAGCAATGCGTATCCACGATTTCGTACCTTCCGTCTCACTGAAGTGGCTTTTAAAATATTAGTTTATCTTTAATTTTTCAAGTAAATCGAATCAATATTGAAGTATAGAAAACATTGAAATTCTTCAGAAATTTTCATTATTAAAACTGGTTGATTTTACTTCTTTTTTTTTTAAAAAAAAAATTCACATCAAAGTTTTTACAATTTTTTTTTCACAGTTACAATCGAATTACTTTTTAAAATACAATTTCGTACACCCTAAAAATCATTTATACATCTTAACAACAAATAATAACACACAAAAAAAGTACACATTACTACTCATATCTGAAAACAGAATATTAGTAGTATTAGTAATAAGCATAAAATTTTCTCACAATTACATAAACACTTTTTCTTTCAACTGGTAACTAAACTGTAAGTATAAATGAAACTTTTATACAGTCACTTCTATTCGGAATAGATAAACCGAACAAGAATAATTTTACATTGTCAATTCTATATGTTTTATATTTCATTTTAGTCTTAATTTAAGTAAATTGTAGGTAAACTGGCTTGTCCTGAAGTTATATGGGCTTATATGGTATATGGGCTTAACATAACGATCGACACTACACACATCTGTGTATAATGTCATTGTCTTTTAATGTTTCCCTGTGCAACAGCAATATGAGTTCAGGGTATTAAAAAAAAAATTAAAAAATAAAAACCATTTTCGGATATGAGTTGTTTATTCTCATAAATTCTTGATTTCCTATTTAATAACCTATTTAATGTTAACCAAAGGATGTAGAATGATAAATTCGACGTTAGTTTTCTCAATGAAAATCGTAGAGAATAATCTCCAGTTCATTACAATTTATATATCTATCATCATGTGTTAATTCATTATAGATGAATTCGATAGAACTATGCCCTTAACGGATGAATATTCAGAAAGGGGTTTTGTGGATATTATAGTAATTTTAATAGTTGACATTATGAATCAATTGAAGTCAGACCACAATGGAAAACCTAGAAGCACTGGATGTCCGTTTCGTCCTACTGTGGGATTGTTCATCTGATATATAACTAAAATATATTCCTCAGAAAATGGATAAGACTTTACATAGTTGCTTGATGACTGAATAAAAAGAATATAAGTGTTTCAACAAAAACATGTAAGCACCTAATGAACGTTTTCTTTTGGGTAAATTTATTTACAATTTCATTTAAATTGTGTCCTATTAACTTATAAGTTGACCCCATCTTACAAATCATTAACAGAAATAGAACATATTTGGTATGTTAGAGTGGTATTTTAGTTGTATCTTGATTGAGTCACTGAAGTATCTAATCAAACATGTTCATAGAACTGAAGTGTTGAACAAAACAGCTCTTTTAAGATGGAACCTTATGACTATATGAATGATATGAAACCAGGACAGTCGTACATTTTATACATCGATGAAAACAACAAACAGGTAAAATTTCTTAGACCCTCCTGTTCTAAATTTACTGTATTATTGTTGTTTCATGATTTTAATTTAGGAAAAAGTCATCTATGCACAAAATTCTAAAACAAAAAAGAAACATAAAACGATGATGTACATGAAGATCATGAATACTGAGGAATTTCAGTAGCGTTTCGTTCATCCGAAAAAGAAACGGGACAATAACTTTACTAAAACTTTGGAGTATTTTGATAGTGATTACAGTTATGTACCTCAGAAGTTTATAAAACAAAGCTGTTTTTGTATTCACTATGTACGTATTTATTAGACAAAAAATATAATTAGTGCCATAAGATATTTGAACAGTTTTGGGAAACAGGGAACGTGTTTTGCACATTTTTTGACCCCTTTTTGTAACTTTTCGTTAATACACAACCACTATTTTATATTAAGAAAAGTGGTCTATCGGTAAAGTGCTCGCGCGCGAGACTGGTAAGTCCTGGGTTCGAATCTCGCGAGGCGGAATCGTGAATGTGAACTGTCTGAGGGGTCCCACAATAGAACGAAACGGACGTCCAGTGCTTCCAAGTTTTCCATTGTGGTCTATCTTCAATTGACTCATGATTTCAACTATATAAGAAAAGGTAGTTATTGATTTTTGATTAGTTACTAGCTGATAAATATAATTTTTAATTATTTAAATAGTTTTCACAAATTCACTTATGTTACTAATGTGTAAATTTTGGTACTTACCACCAACGTCCTTTGATTTGAGGTTTATGATCTTCTGTATTACTTTTATTCTGTTTAAATTTTATTGAATTAACTGATTGATTTTGTTGATGTTGCCTATTGAATTGAGTTTTTTGCTTTGATTGTTGCTTACGATGATCAAAATAATTGGATAAATTTTTATTATATGGTCTTTGTATTACTGAAGGGTATGCTGTAAGTGGTTGAAATGAAGATGAAGAAAAAGTAGGAGATTTTATATATTTTGATTTTGTATTATCAAATAGTTTTTTATCAGTATACTGATTCAGTAGTCGGGATTGTTGAACTATTCGCTGTCTGTATGGATTTAATTCATGCTCTTTTTTCCATAAATAAGAAGTTTGTAAATTATCATTGATTCCATTAATAATAATCTCATTACTACTATTATTATTATTATTGTTAGTAGTAGTAATAGTGGTTGGATTATTATTAACAGTTTTGCTATTCACTGGAAGATTGTTTACTGATGAAAAAGAATTGGAAGCGGACAGTACTGATGCATCATCAAAATAAAATTTATCATGGAAATCAGAAAATTTACGTTGAATTTTATTTTTTATAAAAGATGGAAATACTGGTGAAGATGATAAAGTTAATTCTGGTAGAGAGGTTTCTGGAACTGCCACCACTCCTTCCTTTGATGATGACGACAACGATGACGATGATGACGACGATGATAGTATATCTGGTAAGTAATGTTTTTCTGAAAGATAACTAACAGGAAACTTGAATCTATTCAAATGATCAGGTAATGTTTCTATATATTGAGCATAAATATTATAGGATAAAATGATTAAAAATAAATTGTACAATTCAATGATTTGCATTATATTTGTAAATGTATTTCTCTATTGAATAACACTTTATCAATGTTTATATTCTTATCCATTTGCTCAAATGACAAGTCAATAATAATAATAATGTTGAACAATAGTACTTCTATTAAATTATACTGATAAAATAATAGTAATGTTACAATATTTATAATGTATATAGTACTTTTAATGTATACCAAAAGTAGTTGCTGGGTGATTTCTCCTTGTTTGTTTGTTTCTCTTTTCTTTTCTCTTTTTTTTCAAAGAAACAGAATAGAAGATGAAATCAAAACTTCCATTTAGAATAACAATTAATTACTGTCGTACACCAAATTCATTTGAATATATATATATATTGGTATTTAAATGAATAATTCAACTTGTATTTATGTTATGGCTATGTATTCGTATCCATCTATTTATAGACATAATTAACATGAATATTGTATTGTACAATATGATGTAATAAACATTAATAATGATTATATAATATACAAAATGAAATTAACTCTCAATGGAACCATAATGATTATGGTAATGTATATTAGATTGAGTAATGAAAAACAATGTTTCTTCAGAGGTAATTTTGTTTTAATGCACCTTTTTTTATAACATGAATAGGATTTCATGGTGTGGTGTTTTGTTTTAATTCTTTTACTTGTTTCATGTATGTATGTAGTATGTATCTATGCGTGTAATTGTATGTATTGGTGGGGTGTGTACAATTGAACATCAATATATATTCACTGGAGAGAAATAGAAATTTGTACCTAATTTGATTTGGTGTAGTTTAGGTTCTTCTTAATTATTTTTTGTCTTGTATGTGCAATTGTGCCTATTTGTGTCTGTCTATAATATTGACCGTGAAAAATTTTGTGTAAAATATTAATAATCATAATAATCACATTAACGAGAGAGAGAGAGAGAGAGTGAGAGGGTGAGGGTTTACAAGAATTTTTTTATGCTAAACATATACTGGGATACAGTAACCAATCCAGTAATTAGCTTGTCAATCACTAAAATGAAATGAAATCAACTAATTTTGGCCTATTGAACTATTGAACGAAAGAATGTACATATTTCTCCATACACATCAATAATATACAATCTATGTAATGGAATCAAATATTATATAACCTATATGTAAATGTGATTACATCATTCCCAGTATTGGATATGCATTCAACTATATGCTTATAAATGAATGACTGTTTCATTTCACCTGTCACCATGAAAATGTAAAAAAAAAATAACTATCACAACTGTCTAGTGTAATGTGCAAGTACAAAACTTCTATTTTCATGTACATTATATGTGTGTGTGTGTGTTTGTGTATAGTCAATACTACTACAGCTAAGTTCATGATTATCAAAATATTATGATTATGTAATCATGCAATAATTACAACTATCAATAAGAGATTGATGAATATCTAAATTTTGATTTATTGATAATCTTTACAAAAGATTAACCTTTTTTTTTTCTTCTTCTTCTTCATCCTCATTATCATCTTTATCGTCAGATAATTTAATTTGCTGATTACAGCCTTACTTGTCTAGGTATTAATTATTTCTCCATATAGTTTTTGATTAAGTGATCAATTGTAGAAAGGAAATTTTATTTTGTTGGGGGGTGGGGATGGGGTAAAAATTTACTATCATCACTGTGATTAACGTATGTCAATCAACATCAACAGTACTATTCATAATAATAATTACAATGGAAAAATTGACAGTTTTAACTCATGAATAAATTCAGGATTTGTACATTACTTTAATATAAGCTAATAGTTCAATGTAAATTAAAATAGTCTGATGTAATATAGAAGAAAATAATTGAAACAATGATTTGATAAATGGTCTAGTTATGTTTATGATTCAAACTGAACTAAGAAAATCATTATTAAAGGGGAAAAGATAAGTTAATAATTGTCATTGATCATGTAGAGAATCTCAGTGAGTTACTGTATTCAATATTGTATTATTCAGATCATTGGTCTCTTTGAAAAATTTATTTTCTTCATATTCTGACTGAAATTTCATTAGTATTAATTGGTATACGTGCATAAAGGAATGCAGATTCATCCAGTTGACGAATCCCAGAAAGGACGAAACACGAGTCATGCATTCAACCGCTAAGCACATTATATCCATTTTATATCTATCTATGTCAGTGATTATCAGATTTCCTTGATGCCATGAACTTTTACACGTACAAATCTAGGGAGAAATTGTTTTAACTGGAAAGAAAAATTGGTGAAAATTTAACAGTGAAACAATCACATATATTATAAGCAAAGGTGAATGGTAGATAGCAGTGGAATCCAGTTTGACGAGTGTTTCGTCTTATCTGGGACTCGTCAGCTGGATGTACGTGCATCCTAGAGTTCATATTCACTCTGTAACTCAAACCCATTGCAGTCCGTTTCAAAGGACATAACGTGATCTACTTAGATACTGAGTCCTGATAGTAATTTACTTATTTAATTGGTTGAAGTTTAAATTCACTTAGTATTGTTTGTTCCATCACTAATCACTATCTATTTTTGCTCATAACGCTTATGACTTGAGGCACTATCGAGGCGATCCGAAAAGGATACACATATTCCATTAGGAGACTGATCAATTGTAGTCATTTTAGTATCGGCTGCTATGTTAAGCCCAAATACCTTATTCTAACTTGTCGACAGACCAATTTATTCACTTTTGTTTAGTCGCATTTTGATCTTCTTAATTATTCACTAATAAACCCTGACTGTTTTTATATTAGCGTATAGGTGCACATTAATGTTACGTCCTTCATTTGTCTATCCACTTTCATTCAAGGGACATCTAATGTAGATTCAGACCTTGACGGGATATGCTGACTGGCTTAACATTGAGGCTAGTATGCGTCAGTTCGAAGTGAGGATAAACTGCTTGGGGTTATAGAGATAAAAACTATCCCACCACCTGATTGGCTGGCAAGTACGCTCACGAGAGAGAAGACAAGTCAACTGGAACACTACTCAATATATTCCCGATTCCTATCTGGTTCCCGATTTAAGATTAGTGTAAAAAGATACATGGATAAATAGATGACTAACAAGACCACATCGTACAACAATTAAGAAAATACGGTTATGTCCAAAACTGGGAGGGGATTAGAGTAGAAAATAGAATACAAAAGATTAAGTTTAAATTACAATAGCTTTGAAATAGAAAAGGCTGTTGTAGTGAATCATATATCAAACGAAAGCTTATAATCTGTAGAATAGACTATGGATAAGAGTAAATGTTACTGTTTTACAAGTTTTGAATTAAACGAAATAACGTCCTCAAAGATAGCTTCCATAGTTTGTCAAGGCTTCTTGTTTCTCTGTTCACATCAATTTCCTATCCTATTAATCATATGTCTGTTACTTATTTTCATCTGGCTATAAAAATTGATTAATGCTTGGTTAAATAAAGTCGGCTCATACACCACCACCGTGCGTCATTTCGCTTCGCTCTTTTCTATTCGCTTTATCCCTCTCATTTCCTATCTATATCACTGACTATACAAAATATATGTATTTAAAAAATCCATTCACTTATTCGACTTATTGAATTCTACTATTCACCAACGTGATTCAAGTCAATGAAATCTATGAAGATAGTCGACATATGTATTTCAATGACAATCAGTATTTGGCCCAATTGAAGGTAGATATAAGACTATAAAATCCTAAACATCAATGAGAAGATTCTAGCTAACAAACATAAATCAAGCTGTAATAAATATAAGTATCTAATTTTACTACTAAAACAGCAAAAAATGAAATGAACATTAGATCAAAACCACTATAACAAAAACAAAACAAAACCACTTAAAAATGAATTTTTTTTCTTTATAGAATTTAATTTACCAAATGAAGTTTGTTGATTATTTTCTACTATTACTACCACTACTACTACTACTACTACTAATAATAATAATAATAATAATAATAATAATAATAAAAGTGTTTTAATCCAACATTCAATAGAGTAAGGGATGAGTGAATTGTGTTTTTTAAGAAAAAAAAACCCCCAAAAAATCAAACTATTTATTTCATAAAAATTTAATTCAAGTGGATTTATTGTATCTGGTGGAGGAGGCATTTATTATTGACAAGTTTTCTTTTTATATTTTTTATTCTGTGAATGGAATGATTTTGTTTATTAAGAGAAAAAAACGTTATTTGGAACAAAAAACAGTTTTTTTTTCGTTTTTACTTTGATTGAGAGTTTCTGTGTATATTAATTGAAACATTTAAAGTTTGTGGTAAAAAGTCAAAAAAAAAAAGAAAAGATGCAAGAATATGATAATTGTGCATAGTTTCTATTTTGTTTAGTTGCATTATCTTCATAGTTGGATTCGTAAGTCGATTTAAGCTAGACCATCACTGAAAACTTGGAAGAAATGGATGGCTGTTTCATCCCGGCATAGGACTCCTCAATAGTATAAATCCATGATCCTGTATGCGAGAATCATACTTAACCTCTAAACCATTGAGCTGGCATCTAACTTCAATAGGTCCATGATATTCACAAACCCCATTCAGATAATTGTATTATCGTGCAAAAACTTTCAGTTTATTAAAATATTTAAGATATTGATGTGAACAGAGAAACAAGAAGCCTTGACAAACTATGGAAGCTATCTTTGAGGACGTTATTTCGTTTAATTCAAAACTTGTAAAACAGTAACATTTACTCTTATCCATAGTCTATTCTACAGATTATAAGCTTTCGTTTGATATATGATTCACTACAACAGCCTTTTCTATTTCAAAGCTATTGTAATTTAAACTTAATCTTTTGTATTCTATTTTCTACTCTAATCCCCTCCCAGTTTTGGACATAACCGTATTTTCTTAATTGTTGTACGATGTGGTCTTGTTAGTCATCTATTTATCCATGTATCTTTTTACACTAATCTTAAATCGGGAACCAGATAGGAATCGGGAATATATTGAGTAGTGTTCCAGTTGACTTGTCTTCTCTCTCGTGAGCGTACTTGCCAGCCAATCAGGTGGTGGGATAGTTTTTATCTCTATAACCCCAAGCAGTTTATCCTCACTTCGAACTGACGCATACTAGCCTCAATGTTAAGCCAGTCAGCATATCCCGTCAAGGTCTGAATCTATATTAGATGTCCTCTGACCGAAAGTAGGTAGACAGATCAAGGACGTAACAGATATCCGATTTGAAGAGTTCTGTATAGGTTTATATTCATCCTTTTGAAAACATATGAATCACGTTGAAAACATGACTCATAAACCAATCTTCTTTAGGTGGGTTTAACTTGATTATATATAATCATATTTTATTTATTACATGCTTTCAACTGATCGATTGGTTATGATCATACGATTTACCGTTCTTGAGTTATACCCAATCCATTACTTACAGTCTCTTCCACTCACAGTCACTTTTGGCTTTATCTTGAATAATTTTTATTTTCTATTTTATGGTATGATGCGGCCTGCTCTGCTTGTACATAAGCTACGTATGTCTAAAATGTATTATTCATACAGTGAGGGCCGGAACTGTGTTCTGGACTCAACAAGCAACGATAGACGAGAAGTTGCTATTTTGGGGACCAGCAAAGTCTCATAGTTGACGCAAAGCTGCTAGTGCTGGTTGAAATGCTATTTGTTTAGCTCAGAGGCAAAGTCATATAAGTCGGTATTCTAATTGACCATTTTGTCACATGATAACTGAAAGGAACAAAAGATATGACAGAACTTCCTCAAGTTGCCAAGTGAACAACTAATCAGGTCAGATAGACTTTTTAATGGCGAACTTCAATCTTCAGGTGTATTTTTTGTTCACCTATTAGTACTATTGAAAACTACATTTCATCTCAGTAAAACCTGACCAAATTTTAATAAACAACTCATACTACTATTAAGTAGTCTGAAAATCTTCACAAAAGCGTGATTGAATAAAAGCTAAGATGTATCTCTTCGTAAGTCAAAATCTAGCACTCCGGCTATGAAAACGCATCTACTATTATGAGCGATATAAAACACTGAAAATATCTCCTAAATACAAGTTCATTAAAGGAATCAACTGGAGATCTGAGAAAATTGATGTACTAGGTTGTCATGGAGCAAACATCTAGAAATTAGTCAAATATGAGAAAATACTCACACTACTTCCAATAGTTTAGTTTTCAGAGTGATAAAATTAGTAGTTTAGGGGATTGAGATGATCAAATGTCTTCGTTATGAATATTTAAATAAATTTAAAGATATTGGGGAAACAGCGCATACGCTGGTGACTTTGTCCAGAATAACAAAGAATTGTCTAGATCAGAAAACACTACCGCTAAAATCAATAATAATGCCCAACAGAGACAGCACTTATGCCGAATTAACTTCCTTGTTACGTAAATTATAGGATATTCAGGAGTGTAAAAGTATGTTGAGGTATTTGTATTTATCGTGTTTGCAGTATCATTGAAATTCAATGAGTATTGGACAGCTGTTTCATTCCAGAATGGGAATAGTACTAGAAAACACCATCAATAAAGTAAACAGATTTCCACAAACTCGTCAGTTAGCCAGCCACAACATAGGACTAATGAAATATATGCATCGGTCCAATTTGCCTCACCTCATTAGCACAGCAAGGTGAACACCAAATTCAAAGTAGTTACTTTAATGGAAATAGTTTATAAAAGAAAGATTGTGTATAAGGATATAATACAGGAAGAAAGAATTAGTTCACAGAAAGGTATAAAGTAATTTTAGCCTCACAGTTTAAGGAAGGACAACGAGTGTATACACTTTTGCCACTGTGACCGATCCTGAGCCATGCCACCCAGAGTCTCTAACCACTCGTTACGATAGTCGCACGGACCCCAACCAAGTAGTCTGCGCCTATCAGCATGGTTCACACCAGAAATTAGTGACTTTGTGGAGTGATTACGCGCTTCGGTTTGACGACCCATAACTTTTTTAAGTCAGTGTCCAACACTAGTCAGCATTGCGCGTCGTGGTAATCGGTGTCCAAACATCTCAAATCGATGAAAAATTTTCAACCTCATCAACTAATTTACCGTTATACACTAACCTCACTATTACGTACCCAAGGATCCCAGAAGATGTGAGCAATATCTGCGATCAAATACTAATAACTTACGAGTATCTTTTACCCTTAATAGCCACGTCTCGCAGCCGTAAAGAAGAACAGAACGAACTGCTGCGCAGTATACTTGTTCTCTTATTGATAGATGGATATCTAGCCTTCGCCATAGGTGACGTAAGTTGACAGAAGTCAAACGAGCTCTTTGAATCCGTGAAGACAATTCATCAGTCAGAACTGTGCCGAGTTACTTAGCTTAATAAGACCACATTGCAAAATAAGTAGAATCACAACACCAATACAAACTAAACAACATTAGCTGATCAGTGATCGAATAATGTTAGTTAATTTTATTCTCTATATCCAACCACCTAATATCTTAAAAGATTATTAAACTGGATGACATCGGTGAGTATCACTTCCCTCAACATTCTACAGGTATGCTATATGCTAATGAATATTTCTTCGCACCATATCACAATGCTTAGTTCCTTTTGTTTTCTAACAGAAAATAAGTCATCTACTCAACAAATATATTTTCATTCTGTGAAGATACAAATTCAAAGGAAAATGATTTAAATAAATATATTTTTATTATATCACGATGTCTGTTCTGAACTGGCTCATCATGATTTTGTGTATGTTGTTGAAGGGAATGAGTGAGAAGTAAATAAACGTTTATTGTAATATGCATAGTGGGAAACAAAAATCATACACAACCACACTAATATGTATATATATATATAAATATTACGCATCCACGTGCATAAATAATAATAGTAATAATAATAATAATTGTGTTACGAATGATGGTCAATGATGAATACGTAAGACGTTACGTAATAACGCGTAGGGTACTCTAAGAGAACAAGAGTAACCAGGTAAATTTTGCATATAATATGAACTGTGAAATAATGACAATAAATTTATCAGAAGGAAAAAAAAACAAGAAAAAAATGAATTGAAAGAATCAAGTGATTATATAACAATCATAGTTTGAGGAAAATATAAATATTCACGGAATGATTAAAGATTAAAATAAATAAACAAATTCAACAATAGAATATACATATATATCGTGGAATTGAGACTCTTCTTGTTTTGGCATACACAACCATTTTGATCATAAATATCTGTAGAGACGGCAGCAAACTGTCATAAATACTATTCATCGACAATGCCAACCTCTTCTAATTTAGCAAGAAATGCAGCAACTCGATGATCTGGATCGTTCTAGGAAGAAAAGAAAAAACAAACAAACAATTCGAAATGCTTTATATATTGATTAAGTATACAAAGTCCTTTGTATTCAAGGCGTTTTAGAGTAATTAAATATTCTTCTTTTTTGAAGAATTTCTTTACATCTCATCGTTAAGAATCGTTTTTACTATCTAATAGATAAATTGTCTCGCCTAAATGATTGATTTATTTGTTTTAGTAAAATGATCACAGAGATAAGTTACGCATTCTGTCCAATAAAATGTAACGTTTGTAAAATTTTTTGGCCAAGACTAAAGTTTATGGACGAACCAATGAAATTAAAGATAGCACCTTTTTTATATTGGCGCGAAAACTCCTTCCTCCATGCAGTTATATAGCATTTAAACACTACAGGTGATGTCAGTTCGTGACAAAAACCCTAACTCCGATTGCTAACGTTAGTCACTAACTCTAAATTCTAATCTTAATCCCTCTTTTAACATTGACAAGGTGGATATTTTCAAGTTCACTTCATCGTCATTCAAAGGTCGTTCATAAATTATAAATTCACCACATTTTACTCTCAATAAGATGAAGTGAGATTACAGATTTATCAATGAATGTATTCCAAATAATTATCCGCTTGATAGATATGAAGAGAAATGAAAAAACGTAAGTCATAACAACAATTGAATAACAACCATGATTGGCACTAGTCATGATCATAGGTCTCTTTAAAAAATCGCTCTGGCACCGTGAAACTACAAGGTGAGTAATACCATGTTTAGATTTAGGGTTATTTGGCAAACACAGCAAATCGATATTGAGTTTTAGGCACAGTATAATTAATTGTCAGTCGAATTCAGACGTTATAGTGGTGAATTATCGGATTTCTGATGAAGCTAATACACTACCAGTTCAATGAATATTCACAAAAAAATCCCTACAATCATCGTAGACCGTGATGTTTTGTTTCTTATGAAAAATCCTACTTTTAAGTTATATCTCACCTTATACTGATTAAAAGTCAATAGAGAAATTTACACTTGAATAACTGTTTTAATCCTATTGACTGATGAATGCAAGTACATCCAAAATAAGACGAAACGCGCGTTCTAGATTTTTCTGCTAACCACCATCCAGCTCTGTTTATATTGCTTTGAAGGTTAATCATAATCTCGCTTAACTCACCACATGGATATATGAAGCGGAAAATGTGAATTATAAATATATCAATGAATTATATTTTTGCCAGTTTAAAGTTACGGAGTAAAATCAGATAACTGTACTTAGAAAAGTATGAATCACAAGATCATTGCTTACTTTCGAAACTAGGTCAATCAAATCAAGCAAATGCTTGATTCCAATACATAAACTGAAATAGAAAACAAAACAAAATTGAGTTCAAATATTAAGGAATAACAAGTAATCGTATTTGCTAAATATTCAGAAATATAGGTTTAAGTTTAAATTAATTATGATGTGATATCAACCTGAAAATAGTTGTAACAACCTAATATCGGTGGTATATAGTATTCATGAATAATTGAAGTGACAACAACTTGAATGCTATTATGTCAGTGTGTTGATGAACACATTCAACTTAGATTAAAAGATTTTAATGAAGTTCGATTTAACTTGTACCTTGTATTAGTCACAGATTGATCTTAATTGGAGCACGATTGAAAACCATAGAACACTGGACAATTGCTTCATCCTAGTATGGAAATTTTAAGCTACGGGGTCATCTGCAGACCCACAAGAGGACGAACTGAAGACATCCAAAACTTATCATGAACACTTAACCTTTAAAATCACTTGTTTAGAGCTAACTATCATGATTTAGTTGAATAAATTTTGTGAAGAGCAGCTTACTTACTTCAGAACGTCGAAGAAAGTATCATACTAATGAGATCTGGTTATAGACGTAGTTTCTGGTTTCAATTAGGACCTATAGACTTAAACCAAAGAAAAGAGTTCTAGTGATCTAAGAAGCTCCTAACATACATGTATATCATTTATTTTTAAAATAGAATATAGTACCGACTAATCAGTGAGACACAAATATGGGAATTAAAGCACTCTCATTTCGAAACTCCAATCATAGAAAAATTCATATTATTTTCTAATAACATTTCAAAAGTGGATTGATCCGGAACCAATTTGTTTGACAGAAAGAAACTTAAATCCAAGTTTGGATTAATGTTAACTTGGTTATTTATTCTCTGAAGAAGTGGCTTACAATGAGTCACGAAACGTTGGAAAGTCCCAACTTAGGTTGAGATAATTTCATGAAGGGGGAAGTAACTAATATGCAGAATTTGAGAACGAATATAGATCGGATTTTGTGGAAAAACAGAAACTCAAGGTTTCCTAACAAAAAGTAACTGTCTCAAACTTTCAGTAAGTTTTAATAGTGTTACAAATGATGTCACATATAATGAATAGATACCGTTATAAAGCTGATAGAAAATACGAAATATAATTTAAGTAAACATCTAATTTATTTAGCAAATATACACCTGACTTTATGTACTTGTCTTTGAGTCATTAAGTTTTGTATCAGGAGATTACTGATATTACCTGGCTTTCTGAACCGTTCACTAAATGGAGTAGGGTGGAACGTTTATAGCCTTACTTATTTTAGGCATGCGGTGGAGATAGATTTTATTGAGTTACTAGTTACACACGTGAATTTTGAAAGAGTCACTTAGGAATTCTTTATCGTTCGCAAAAAAAATACAAAAAAACCCATTGCTATGGTTTTGGAGTCGTATATAAAAGTGTCATAATGCAGGATGAATGGTATATCACCATTTTGAGTTGCTTTGACGCGTTTATTGAAACAGAGAATTAAGTTTTGCACTTTTGAGCTAGTATTGAGTGCTAACAGCTCTTCATTAATGGCTTTTAACTTATGCCTCAATTTAATTTAGACAAAAATTTTGATATTTGTGCAACTACCTTGAAATGGTTTGACTTAAAATAACGTTTCTGTAGACGGCGTCTTAGTTTACTACGATATTTGGCTGGGATAAATAATTCGTAAGGTTTACTAAACCTGTACAATTTAAGAAGTGCGCAGGAATCTAAACAAAGAGTAAACAATCAGATAGTATGTGTCAATAGCATCCACAAGACAATTGTATGAGAGGAAGGTATCCCAATCTGAGAACTGATGTGATAGAGTTTACATAAATGTAAGTATATCTTCATATGAGTAAAAGAGAAAAGAATAAGGAACAGGACTATATTGCAAAAACAAAATAACATACAAAGTGTAGCACTTACCGACGACCCGATAAAGATTTTTCAATAATCTGTTGTTCTTTCGATGTAAAACGTCCATCCTCTTCTAACGCAGCAATTAAATGCTCGGATCTTGAGAGCATAGCAACATGGACGTGCCATGAAAAAGCTTGAGTAAGATTTTGATCTGTTAACGCTTCACGACAACTGGTTGTAGCCAGTACTAACATATGACGACCCTGGAAAAAGCAATGCGAACGCACTTTTCAAGGGAATAAAAACGAAAATATGTAAAAAGCATAAAACACAAAAACAAACAACTGACCTGTTGATTAAAAAGACCAACACCACCTTCTAAAAATGATACTACTTAAATGTAAGTATGAGCACTTAGAAAAAAGTATATAAAAGTAATTAATTATTCAAATAACTAACCGCTTTCAATGGTTGCGAAACCAAATCACGTATTGCTTGAACAATGAAATTCGAAAATCTTGGTCCAACTGGATTGTATTCAATTAAACCTTCAATATTATCAACAATCACAACACTTAATGGTGATTTGGCACCATCATCAAAAATCTACATTTTGTAGTGGGGAAGGGAAAAAGAGAATAACAAAGTAAGCAAATATTAGAATACACTTGTTAATTGTTATCGCAATAATTTAATCTGAAAGGAAAGTAATTGTTTTTAAGTTCAATCCTCCTGGCACTTGAAGTTTGGTAAAATGATGCCTTTATGAACAAAACAAAATAATGAAAGTAACGATTGGTATTTTCACAATTTGATGGTATGAAAGACTGCAGACAACAGGACGAATAGTAATGACAGTATTATAATGGTATAGTTATCAATAGCGGTTACAAAAAATAATAAGAATGGCATGATAAGAACAAAACAATTTGAAATATACGATTGGAATCATGAATCAACCAAAGTTAGACAACTTTCCTAAACTAGGAAGAACTGGACAGCCGTTTTGTATTGGAATTGTAATACGAAGTAGCGAGCAATCATAACTCCGATACCCGTGATCCAACCCAGAACCTTCAAGGTTTTGATGCGAAAGCTTAACGTTCAAATTTTTAGGTCACCATCTGAAGGTTTAAATATGTACATGCGTGTCCAATCAATTTTCAATATTGTGCAACTATCTTCTATTGCCTTCAGTGGGTAACTGCCTTACACCCGTGACGGTTGATGTCCAGTTGTCACGGCTTCTGATTAGAACTTCGAAAATTTCCGCTCGAAGTTACTCACTAATAAGCGCATGATAAATATCCAAATTGAGGTTCGTGGAGGTTTAATTACTATAGATTGGAATATCAGCTACAGTAAACTACCAACGCAATCTAAAGACATACACTTTGATCCATTTGCTATTAATTGTAATAAGAATTTGACAATATAGAGTTAAACGCACTGAAAGCATTGATCAGTATCAACATATCTGAAGTACTATAACAAATAAAAGTCATGTTTTTAAACAGAATATTGAACTTCACAGACAAAACACAAATCCTCATCAAAATTTCTGATATATTCGGCGATCTATTTCGTTTGACTAAAAATGATACCGATAAGCAGAACAGTAATCTCCACACTTATCGCTTAACTGTGTAATGGGTTTAATTTTCAGATGATATCTGATAGATTCCCTCCTCAAAGAAAGATCTATGTGGTTCAAATACAAAACTTGACCTTGTGATAAACAACCAAACAAAAGGACTACTAATAATTATTACCGACACTGTTCACTTACCTTTTTCATTGCAGCGCATTTAGCCATTTCAGTGAATCCAATCATTTTATGTGACGTAACAATTTTGACGAACGGGAATCCAGATAATCGTGCAATCTCAACAGCTAACGCTGTTTTACCAGCTTTCGGTGGACCTTCTAATAACAAAGTTAAGGGTCTGTACGTTTCAACATCTGGTTCCTTTACTGCAGACACAGCTAGTCGACCCATATCTAGTGCATGTGATACCGACTCACCCCACATCATAATACCACGAGGAGCATAACAACTGAGTTCTTCTTCAGAAGCACCAAAAGCCTGAAATAACATTTTTCAAAAAAACTTCATGTAAGAAAATAGTCATAACGGCACAAAAGATTCATACAAAGTAAGCGTAAAAGTTGAATAATATAAACGCGAAAACCCCGAACAACATGTATCGAAGTAGGTAATATTATTAACCAACTTTGAAAGAAGTAGAAACTGTGCAATCGATTGAAAAAAGAATCACAAGCAAAGTCATCAGAACGAAATAATATAACAATTGTGGAATAATTGAAAAGTTCACTTCTACATAAAGTAGACATTGAAGAAGTTGTCCTGAATAACAATGATAGCTATGCAATCAAACCATCTATCTCAGAGATTACAACATCGTCAAAGGCACTCTACCTGAGCTGAAAATTTTCATCGTGATTTCAGTTGAGAAACTGAGAAAAATTTATACTGAAAGGAGTATACAAACTTACCGGTTTAACATCATGTTCCAATGCGTATAGAAAATCTGAACGTTTTACTAACAATCGGTCAAATGCATCAGGATCCAACTGAGTTTTCCCAGATGGCTACACAAAAAAGGGGGAAAAACAAAAAAACAAAACAAAAGTAGATATCATTGTGATAAACATCACAGTAAATTCACTAAATATAACCAAACTACAATGATATTATGTGTAAAACTACAAACTACCGTTAAGTTACATTCTCAAATTTGATAAAGTTCGCAAGAAAGCTATGAAACTGTTATAACATGTGGGTTTGTGGCCCGATTAATATGACGTGACAATGCCACCAATTAGAGTACAGTAAATTATCGATCAAACCAATGGCGCATAAAATCCCGTACGAGCAGTCTAAAGTCCTTATTGGTCCTGCTTCCCACCTAACCTAGCCTAGCCAATTAAGTCAAGAATACCAATCTCAGCCTCTGCAGTGTGAATCATGTATTTCAAACATACTGGGTTTATATACCAGACAGACAGACCACATCATACCATAAAATAGGAAACAACATTTGTACAAGATGTAGCCAAATGTGGCTGTGAATAAGGGAGATAGTAATTGATAAACAGGGTATAACTCAAGAATGGTAAATCGTACAATAATAGTTCATAGGTTAAAATAAAGCTCATAATAAGAGTGACATGAATATGAATAGTTTAGGTATTTAACAATTATACGATAAAAATATACGCATAGTATTGGTCCATAAGTGGATTCCAAAAGTTACTATTCATTATTCTTATCGGGATATAACAGAAATTCAATAAATAGACAAATCTATCAAAGAGAAATATCTCTAATCAATCAACCGTTTACAATATATCCATTACTGGTTAAGGTCTGTTAATAAGATGTATAATTCAGAAGCAATAATCAAAATCTTTGAAAGTTTTATGAAACAACTATATTCAGAAAGAAAGGAATTTCCAAATACGTAAATGTTATAAAACAGTAAGTAGATAAACTATGAAATCATTCAAGACGACTAAAGACAACCAAATTTCATGAAGCCATGACCATGAAGTGTATGTTTCACAGGAATTTTAATCACTATTAATAATGTATTACAAAACATTGTCGATTAATGTAAGTTTGGCAATGAAACTTTAAAAAAAAACTTTGACTTTGTTTAGGTACCTGAACCTTATTTTTTATATATTTTTGTTATTATTCAATCTATATACACATATACTCATTATATTATATACAGTAACATATTTCTTCATTACCTAAAATAGAATCTACAGAAATTTATCATTTGTAGTGAGTCGTGGTTCTGTTTTATTTTACATATACGATAATGAGAGTCATGACTTTATAATTTAGTCTTACAAATGCAAGAATATCAGAGTTTTCAATGGCCTATCGATACTATGACAAATACAGAAGCAGGGTAGGTCGATCGATTTGCTAATGACATTGACAAAAGCTTTGAAACTCTAAATCGAAACAGTTAAGAGAACATCAGAAAATCTCTAGAAGCATAGCATTTAGATAAGTCTGCAATAATTAGGTTTATCGATATGGATACAATTTACTAATCAATAGGGAAATGATCAGTCAATTACGTGCCCAAAGGTCGATCGAACAAAACGGTCAACAAGAATAATGACAACTGGTGACAAAACCATTGACGGCAACGATTCTGATAAATCTTGCTACCGACAAACTTAAACTGCTTTCCTAGCTGGTCGCCATATCTACAACCACTACACGTCAACTGAAGCATAAAAGAGAAGGCACCTATTGCAAGAGAAAACTTTTCTCCAAGGTTAGTTTATGTACAGAAAACCTTCGGTATTTACAAACGTACACAGGATCTTGAGCTTCTGGAAAAATAGGGAACCATGCTAGATGCAGCAGCAGTATAGTCAAATATTCAATCAAGACTGTGGCACGTGATATAGCATTTTCTAAGTGTTTCCGAGATAATCCAATTCAGTGTCGACTTGATAAAACGTTTCCTAGAGTCTCTGAGCCTTTAGTGACTTTGACAAGGGACATTTTTGGAATCCTCCAACACATTCACAGGTCATCAGGACAGTTTAATTTAGAGTCTGTGGTGTATTTAAAAACACTCATATGTGAAATCAGCGCTGACAATCCTGTCCAAAACTAAAATGAAAGCTTCGTCATTATAAAGTATTCGGCTCGGATAACAAAATGCAATTGGAGGCATACATAACTTAGTCTAAAAATTTCCTCTATTATTTTGTTAAAAAGAAATAATACATAATGCACTGAACTAGTTCGTAATAGAAAACTAGCAATAAACTTACACTTATTAATTGATACATTGAGGTGAATGCTGCAGCACGACATAAGCCTTCAATTTCAGCACCGCTGAAATTTTTTGTTTTAGCCGCTAATTCTTTCAAATCAACATCACGTGCCAATTTACCAGCCTGTTGCATTTTCGATGTATGTATATTTAGGATTTGCAATCGACCATCTTCATCTGGTAAAGAGATTTCCATTTGCATCTTAAATTGAAAACAATGTTATAGGTGAATAGTAAAAAGTAAAAAAATTAATGATAAACATTCAAATAATAAGTGACTTATTGATCACGTGTATATTTTTTATGTACTCCACGTTGAAGTAAATTAATAACTTAGATGATGAAATTTAAAGATAATTGCTATCAAAACCACCACCTGGAAACACCAGACATCTGTTTCATCGCGGTATGGAACTGCTCAACAATTCGCATGGACGATCCCGCAAGAGGGATTCCGAACTAGAGTCTTCGGTCTCCCGCTCAAACCCTTAACTTCTAAATCACTGAGCGGAGATTTAACGGTTTCATCTTCCAACTTAGGGATTATAACGAGCTTGTAGATTGAGAATATCTTTTCTAATAAAAAAATGCAGGTTTTGAATACAATGATAAGTTTATGAAATTAAGTTATCCTTACATTAGTTTTGATTTTTTTAAAAAGACGACCACATTTATTTTGTACAAAGATGTATATCATTCACAAGAATGATAAGTTCTAATAGTTGTATAGTTTAACTGCTCAATGGTTGAAGAACACGGACGTAAATTCAAACGTTGTTTCACTCACATCAGTTTTTAGTAATTGACGGGTATCATTGTCATTCATTTACACAAAAATGTGCCTAAAAATTGAAAGCTTTATTTACTGAATAGTATCATTATGAGAAGAGTTCAGTGCAGGAAACTAGTGAGTAGCCTATGCTCCTCCACAAAGGGTAGCAGGCGAAAGTAATCATTTTGAGTGTATTTTTGAATAAACTGAGCATTGGGTAGATTGTTATAAATAAATAATATATTTGTAATATCCCAATGAGTAGAAAAATTAGATTTTCTGAAGTTTCGTGACTCGTATTTAGAGCAATCAAGTAAGAAATTATGACCATATGCAATGTGTGTCTAACAATTTTATGTTTAAAAATCATTAAAAAAGATCACAAACAATATTCAATTCCTTGAAAAAGCTTGGACCAGATTGCCAGGCGAAACGTTGGAATTACTACAAGTTCATTTGCTGATATTTTACAAATACATATTATTCCTAATTAATGAATATTGAATTTTGATTGAAATCATTAATCAATCAATGTTAAACTTAGAAGCACTAGACAGGCGTTTTTTCCTAGTACGGGACTCCTCAGCAGTCATGGTCTCAATCAGAACTCAAACAATCTCCGCAACCCTATAGTGATAATATTCAATTTGCTTGTTTTCAATGTGCACTTTTAAAACTATAGTTACGTCTGAGCAACTGAGGGTAAAAGATGCTGACAGTATAAATGACTAATTTTGATTTTACATACTCATTCCTTATTCAAGTAAAATTTATTGAAACCTTTATAAAAATGTAAGTTGCAATTTATGGCTAATGTTTGTTGACAAGTTAATCAATCTTTTCTAAGGTTAGAGATAATATTCAAACTTCGAAATTTTTTTCACACAGAATACTGTTAAAAAATGAATACGTGAGTTCACTTAGAAAACCCTCAGGATAAGTAAAAGAGCTAAAACGCTCGACTAACAAGAATATACAAAACTTAAGTTAACTTCAGTGAATGATCTTTATGAATAAAACAGCTAGTATAGAAATGATCAATACATTACTCGTTGATGATCGCAGGTTACAGAAACTATCTCTTAAAAATGAAATCACAGAAAAGACTAAGAAACAGCTGATATAACTATTAAATGGCTTGAAACAAGGAAGTTCAATATTTCAAGACTTATACGTGACACTCAGATTCAATGATACTGTGACACCTAGACTCTATGGGGTCCCCTTATAGTAAATAAAACTAGTTTTTCTTTTCACTCAATCCTAGAAAAGATCAATTTACCCTACTACGTGACTCCAAAATGGCCAGCAGAACTTTTAAACACATTGTGCAAAGAAGTCTTAAAGAACAGCGCAAGAGATAATTTTGGCTTTGTCGATAGAATAATAAATTTGGAAAAGAATAGTAAATTCATAAGTTATGCGTCATCTTGATTCACGAACGTGCCTTTCGGGGAGACAGTAGATTTCATATATAATGAGTTACGAAATCGAGGAGTGGAAATCGGTATCTCCATTTCTCCCTTCAAAAATGATCCCCACATTAATGATTAATCCTCGAAAGGGAGTTCGGTACACAACATGACGGTATTTTAAGGGGTTACCACTAGGTTTAATCTCAGCAGATTTCCTTTCAGCAAAATTATAAAATGATCCATTAGACCTAAACGATTATTGTTGCTATATGAATGATACAGTTCTGAAAAACAAGACATAAGCTCAGAACCTATTAGAAGCGTTTAACAGAGTTCGCCAAGTAGTTACTTTCATAAAAGAAAAAAACTGCGATACCATCCCCAGTTTCTAGAAGTCTCATTAACGAGAAGACTTAACGGGAAAAGTATTTGTCCTAAACCGATTACACAGCCAATAAACATATTTTCAAGTTACTTTCCGTATCCAAATATATTCTAATTCAATAGGCTTGTGAAGTTCTCAGCCCTCCACTTCTATTGAGCACAGTGGAAATTAGCAGTATAAGTGCTTTGACTAATCGTTTTTCTTTATAATTAGAGAAACTATTATAAATTATATGGTTATCGGGTTAATAGTTGAAGAATATAACATGTAATATTATTACTGATTAGATGTGTAGATTCTCCAGTCCTAAAGAACCATTTAGCATTTTGCGTAACTTGCATGACCTTTAGAAGATATCAACATATTTCAGCTAGTTGGTCAGTAGCCTCGTTTTCTAAAATCTGTGTTTGGAATTCAAGAATCAGTCCCATGAGCGACCTAATAGTATGGTCAGATCAAATCATTTGAGTTTCCATAACAATAAAAAACATGAAACATATACAAACGACAGTGTAGCTTTATTGATCATGCATTTCTTCTACTTATAAGAAGTAGTAACAACGTTAATGTTTACACTTTTCGAAAAAAACATACTTCAAAACGTCCAGGTCTTAAAAGTGCTTCATCAATCATGTCTCGTCGATTAGTCATTCCAATGACAAGTATATTATTTAACTGATTCACTCCATCCAGGTTAGTTAGTAGCTGATTGACTACAGTGTCATGTACACCAGCACCTCCACCCTGAAAGAGAGAAAAAATACCATAAATATATATAGTGTTGAAATACCTGTTCCAATGAGTTATGGAGTCTTTATAAATGCTGATGTCACAGTAAGAAATTCCTAGCATCGATAGCGCCTAACACTGACACTGTAATTATTCCAAAAAGATTATATTTTATAAATGTTTTCTCAATACCCAATAACCTGTTGCTCATCTAAAACGGAGAAAGGTTTATGTTTATCCAGGCACTATCAATATTCTTTCCATCCATAAAATGTTGAAATTATGAACCGAAATATATTCGTCTTTCTAGTTTTTATTTTCAAAGGGTGGCCAAAGAAGATCATATACACCAAAAATGGTAGTGTTTTAGTTTAACATCGTGAAATTAAAATTACTATGAAGAACAGACAATTGAGTTAAGAGATATTTATCATTGCATCACATACAGAACGAGTAGTAGTAATACCAGAATTTCAACCGCTAATTTAAACTACTCTCCATTTCACAGTTTAGACAGTTATGTGCCGCATACCTCAACGGTAAAGTATATGACTGTGAAACTGAATCAAATGAGGTCGAATCCTTCAGGGAGTATTGCTTCCTTCAAGATTACAAGTACACCTTCCCAACAAGTGTCAAATAATGGCATGAAACCTAGGTCCGAAGTTTCTTGTCGACAACCTCCAACCACCACCTCGCAACTTAACATAATGCACGTGATGTTAAATCACTTACACTAGTGGCCACATAGCAACTTGATCAACACTAAGAAGGACTTAACATACACGACATTGGTCAATACTCAGTGACCAATCAATTGTAAGTGTAACTAGCTCTCACGAATAAAATGGTGACTTGAACCCCACTGTACATAAATCTGGATTTCGTTAAACAAGTTTGCAATCTTTATTAGGTCTCACAAATGATGATAATATAAGTAAAAAGTTTTAAAGCAAAAATACAATAATGACAACTGCTTACTGTAGATCCACGTGATTTACAAATCGCATCAATTTCATCAAATATAATAATATGCAATGCAGATTTAGCACCCATGCGTTTTTCTTCTTCTTCAGCATCAGCGAATAATTTACGGATATTCGCTTCAGATTCACCAACATATTTATCTAATATACTTGGACCATTGACAATTTTAGGTTCACGTGCATTAAGCATTTTACCAATTTGTCGTGCCATTAGTGTTTTACCAGTACCAGGTGGACCGTATAAAAGAATACCACGGACGTGTTTTAAACCTGAAAAGAAAAACGATTTAAAATCATCGCGTTGTTTTTAAAGAAAACAAACGGCAGATGTACCTTACAGGTTGAAAATAAACAAGAAAACTTTCATTATCAAAGCATCGATTCGACAAATTTATTGGAATGATCTAAAGTGACAGATTTGTTTATGAAATCGATTGTTAAATTTCAATCGAATGAGCTTTCAAAGGAAAAACTGATTGGCACAACATATATAAGTGAACAATACTGTTTTCGATTAGATCCTAATCAGGCTTTACTCTAATATGCAGTAATATTTATATGCATATACGAAATTATGAAACCAATCAAGGCAGTTTATGAGTGAGTGATAGCAGTGGAATAGATTACATAATCGAAATTAATAATAAGTGAAAAGTACAAATTGGTAGTGTAATGACAGGTGTACTAGTTGATAAGTATAATAAAAGGCTTGAATCAGTGTTACACAATAAGAAAATAGGTCAATGATTAGAAAAATATAGACACTGAAATAACATTTATAGAAATTATAAGATTACGTAATAAGAAGTGTTTAGATAATTGGACGGTGAAGCGAATATTAGAAAAATTATAAGTAAATAATTGATAGGGGGTGAAGAAAAATAAACGAAGAAAGAGTATGGAAAATAAAATCATTTATTAAGGCCAAGGAAGAGATAAGTGTGTTACAAATTTCTCATGAACACAAAGACTTGGATCGTTGGCTCGAATTCCTATAGCTTCTGCTATGTGTAAGAGACGAGATCGAACCCCATAAGGAAAACTAGTAGGAATACGATAAATAACTTTAAATGACTGATTTCTGTCAACTTTATGACCGCTATCAATCAAGTGTGAAAGAATCGAGCTCCGTATCGACTTGATCATACCTTTTCCTAACCACGAAGGGAGGTGTTCACTAACTCTTCGGTTCAGTTGTCTGGTAGTGCGCCCAATATAGCTTTCTCCACAGGAGCAGCTGAATTTATAGATACACATAGAAGTGGCATAACCAGGCAACCTATCCTTTAGTTGGGGAATCACCATAGATCGTGTCGAGTAAGAAAGAAAGAGGTCGGCTGCATTAAACGTTCTCTTAACTGTTTTAGTCAGCCTATCCCGTAGTACATCATCGGCTAAATCGCCGTTGAATTGTAGTTTCAGGAAGATTGGTTTCTTCGCAGCTGTTGATAATAATAAAATAACGAAAATGGAAAAGTCACATGTGGAGATCCTGATTGGCTGATTGATACACTGCTACTATGTTTAGCAGTATTCTAGAACTTTCAGTAAAAACTCAAGGACTCTAAATTACTATAAAATCCCCATATTTTCTGTACATGAAATGAACACTGTAGTAAAGTGCTTCCCTCACACTTTGTGCCTTTTCTCTGGTCTTCAAGTCGGTGTATAGTTCTAGCTCGGGGGTACGGAACTGGCTTAGGGAAGCGAATATAGCGTTCAAGCGACGAGGCGTAACAGTGGCGACGGCGAAAAACTACAATAAACAAGACACAACAGTTGGCAACGCGGATTCTGGCACAAAAGAAAATACTGACGGTCAAAACATAACAATTGTCGACGGGGTTTTTCTGGAATTATTATTATTAGCAAAAAAAATGACGATTTCTCTAGAACAGGCGCTGATAATATTAGAGCACAGGCAACAGCAAATGCTAGCCTTCCAGCAGCAACTATTTGAAACAGTTTTGGACAAGTTTTTCACTAAACAAAATATTTCAGGAAATAAAGGACTTATTTGTAATGCAGATAATGGTGCAAAAATGGCTGTCTCGGAAGAACGCCCAGTTGAGGGTTCAATTCCCTTCATATCAGATGGAAAAGGCAAAATGGTATCAGATGACAAAGAAAAAGAAGGTTCCGTAGACAAAGCCCTGAGTCCAGAGTCAAATGAAGCACCATTGAATCCGCCAATCTCTGAAGAAAAACTTCAGTCAGAACTAAACTACGGGTTACACGATATTGGTCAAGAGAGCTGGAAGGACGCATATCCAGAAAAAGACTGGAACAGTACAGTAAACCAAATTGTGCCAGATGTAATTCAAAGTCATCGGGAGATAAAAGCTTATAATGAATCAGCTTCATATTCAATTTCTCATGTCAGTTTACCAGATATGGGTTCGCGTAATGATGTACATAATTTTGATGAAAATTCTTATGAAGATGAGAAAAATAAGTCCGTCGAATCAAATGGTGATCAAAAAGCTAATGCAATTTTATTAGATGCTGACTCCCCTAGTTATCTAATAACCTCTAGTGAAAATCTTTATGAATTTGATGGAAATGTTTCAGAAGAGCCAAATTCTGATGACCTAAAGCCAAGTGTCGTTCACTATCATTTAGTCATCCCCAGTGGATTCTCTATTCAATGCGAGAAATGTGTTCTAAATAAAGTCATATTAATTGTAATTTGGAGATATGAGGATCCGACATTGTTTCGTGGGGGAGGATGAAGTCGGCAAATGCAGTCTGGATACCTACCATGAATCTTCAAAAAAGGGGAGGTGTTGGGATGGCCCTGCATTTTTCTCGCAAGCGACATGGGAAGCTTACGGGTCATCAAGGAGCATTTCAACCAATCAGCGAATATTTAAATGTTATCTGAAGTTATGTTACCAAAATAACGAAAATGGAAAAGTCACATGTGGAGATCCTGATTGGCTGATTGATACACTGCTACTATGTTTAGCAGTATTCTAGAACTTTCAGTAAAAACTCAAGGACTCTAAATTACTATAAAATCCCCATATTTTCTGTACATGAAATGAACACTGTAGTAAAGTGCTTCCCTCACACTTTGTGCCTTTTCTCTGGTCTTCAAGTCGGTGTATAGTTCTAGCTCGGGGGTACGGAACTGGCTTAGGGAAGCGAATATAGCGTTCAAGCGGCGAGACGTGACAGGTCCATTCTCTAGTTTCGCAAGAAAAAAGTCCGCTAGGATAAGACCTAGAGGTGATCCCATCGCTATACCATCAATTTGTCTATAATATGTATTATTAAAGACAAAATGAACATTCATTGTACATTTCAAAAGTAATTCTTTAAGACTGACCTCGGGAATTCCGACATTGATTTGTTTTTCATGCAATTGTTGACACAGAATTAATAGTCTCAATTAGTGGAATGTTGGTGAACAGGGAAGCAACACCTAGAGATATCCGTTTCCCACTTAAGTTTATATATTCAACCTTCGAAATGAAATCAAAAACGTCTTCCACACTTCTGTTGACGACTAGTTTGTGTAAGGGTTCCAGGATTTGAACTAGCCACTTTGCAGTTTTATGGTAGGGTGAATTATACATGTCTAAAACTGGACGAAGCGGAAGACCTGCCTTGTGAACTTCGGGTAGACCATATAGTCGTGGCGTGTTCGATCCGGTGGGTTTAAGTGAATCGTGTATACTCGGAGTGAATATTCATTTGTTTTTTAATTCCTTAAGTGAATTAGTCAACATTTTCTCTGTTTTCATATTTATGTCTTTTACGTCGTTGAGTTTCTGAAATTTAGTCGTGTCATTCAAAATCGAGTTCATTTTATCGATGTAATCGGCTTTGTCAGGCTTGCTCATGACTAGTATGTGTTATCTTTTTTAAGTATATGTAAAGCGTTTCGATGCTGTTTGGTAAGTGGATTTTTTAAAGTATATTTACTATTCTTGAATTTAATAATTTCGTATATGCATATAAATATTACTGTATATAAGAGTAAAGCCTGATGAGAATCTAATCGAAAACAATATTGTTCGCTTATATATGTTGTTCTATATGCATATACAAAATTATTAAATTCAAGAATAGTAAATATACTTAAAAAAATCCACTTACCAAACAGCATCGAAACGATGATGTACTACGGGATAGGCTGACTAAAGCAGTTAAGAGAACGTTTAATGCAGCCGACCTCTTTCTTTCTTACTCGACACGATCTATGGTGATTCCCCAACTAAAGGATAGGTTGCCTGGTTATGCCACTTCTATGTGTATCTATAAATTCAGCTGCTCCTGTGGAGAAAGCTATATTGGGCGCACTACCAGACAACTGAACCGAAGAGTTAGTGAACACCTCCCTTCGTGGTTAGGAAAAGGTATGATCAAGTCGATACGGAGCTCGATTCTTTCACACTTGATTGATAGCGGTCATAAAGTTGACAGAAATCAGTCATTTAAAGTTATTTATCGTATTCCTACTAGTTTTCCTTATGGGGTTCGATCTCGTCTCTTACACATAGCAGAAGCTATAGGAATTCGAGCCAACGATCCAAGTCTTTGTGTTCATGAGAAATTTGTAACACACTTATCTCTTCCTTGGCCTTAATAAATGATTTTATTTTCCATACTCTTTCTTCGTTTATTTTTCTTCACCCCCTATCAATTATTTACTTATAATTTTTCTAATATTCGCTTCACCGTCCAATTATCTAAACACTTCTTATTACGTAATCTTATAATTTCTATAAATGTTATTTCAGTGTCTATATTTTTCTAATCATTGACCTATTTTCTTATTGTGTAACACTGATTCAAGCCTTTTATTATACTTATCAACTAGTACACCTGTCATTACACTACCAATTTGTACTTTTCACTTATTATTAATTTCGATTATGTAATCTATTCCACTGCTATCATTCACTCATAAACTGCCTTGATTGGTTTCATAATTTCGTATATGCATATAAATATTACTGCATATTAGAGTAAAGCCTGATTAGGATCTAATCGAAAACAGTATTGTTCGCTTATATATGTTGTTCTAAATCACAATATGGGAACTTTTCAAATTTTGAAAAACTGTCTTTTCTTGAGTATCCGATGCTATACGGTGAGGCATTGAGTATAGGTATATTCAAAACTTGACATTTATTTTGGGTGCATGTAGTTAATAGCCAAGTAGCATAACATTTCAGATCTGTAGAAAAGCCTATATCTTTATAAACTTGTTTTCAGTAAATCAGTTTTTTATGATTTTGTACTAACTATACATTTTTATAAATGTCATTTTGCGTATCCACTTGATTATGCCTATCTACTTTAATGAAACAACTTTGTTTGAAGTTCGTTCGTTCAGATGAACAACAAGACGATCACTTTGTCTCAGTTTGGTTTTTTCTCTACAGACAGCATATACACTATAAGAAGGGTCCAAACTATGACCATCAGATATCAGGAGCAGAAAAACACCTTTTTCCATAAAGGTGTAAAAAAATTTTTTGGTATACAGAAAGATATTCTCAACGACTTATGTGCAAATAGATTTTCCCTGAGTAGAAGACACTTACTACTCAAGGAAATCCCAGCCCAATATATATGACTTGCTGCAAGTGAGAATATTAACGAATAAATGTATATTTGTAAGACCAGGTAAAAAAAATAGATAGTACATGAAGTATCATGCCTTCTTAAATCTTACCTTTACAGGAATAGCTGACTAGATTTTTGACAAAACGATACTCACTACTGATTACTTAGTTAAATTCTGGTATGATGTCCCTTTCCATACAGTCAAATGTTATAACCAAAAACAATGATTGTTAAACTTGATAAGATAACTTTTCGACTTCAGTCAGTTTGCAATACAGTAAAATATAACTTATACCATGATGTTAACAATCATAATAAATTCAGTATAGTTTTACCTAATGGAACATGATTTACTGAACTGAAACTTCGTACGAAAATGGTCACTATTGGTCATACAATTACTTTTAAACTATACAAAGACATCATTTGAACCTTTCTAGTAGAAAAATCCTTTGTTTATGAAATGATTATCATCAATATTTTTTAATGGACCTATTTTGATGTATAATTGAGAGAGATAATTAATAAATAAAAGTAGATTCCAATTTAATGAAATGCAAGTTAGTAAAGGATAAAGTAACCAGTAACCTGGAGAAAACCAGTGAACTGTAAAGATTAATAATTAAATATAGATTACATTGAATAACATTTAAAGTATTTTTGTAATCAAGGACTGACTTTTGTATCAGTCTTTCAGAAAATAGGCTAGAAGAAAGTTAAAAGTGGTTAAACCAAAACATAACATCTTATACAGTTAGTGATTGTTGGTCAAAAGCCATGTTGGTAAACGCAGTCAGCAAGATAACGGTGACTAATTGTTAGGGAAATCGAGTGACATGGATCAGTATCGGTCACAGTGAAGTAGATGTACTGACCCTTAATTTTTTTGCACATTATTTCTAATATTCCTTTTGGTATACCTTTTTATTTCATTTTCTAAACCATATCCTTAATGTTTAATCTTTTTCATTATTATTGTTACCATAATTCGTGTGATTCATTTGCTATTTAACTTTTCAATCTTATGAGATCCTACATTTATTATGACTGATTACAACTTTGAAGACTATGTCTTGTGTTTAAGGGGTAAGTGACGTTACTCGACTGTCCAAACAAAGCCCTGTAAAGTAGCATTAGTTAAATGCTTTAATCATTAATCTTCACAGCGACAGTGATTTGTTTTCGTAACACCCGGTAATAAAATGAACAAACTTAATTTTAGACAATTCATTTTTGTATTGTTTGTTTAAATCTTCCCATTGTTGTTTAGGACTGCAACTGATCAGTCTCTTATTGGAATATGTGCATCCTGTGTGGATTGCCTCGTTATTACCTCACGTAGCAAGCATAATAAGCATAGATGGATGATGATGATGCTGTACCCTGATGCACAAGCTAGTGACTATTTGGACTCAGTAGCTAAGTGGATAACGCGATGACGTTTGAATCGAATGGTGAGGACATCAACTGAGGTACAGGTACATCCAGCTGACGAATCCCAAATAAGACGAAAGGCACGTCCTGGATTCCATAGCTAGCCACCATCTATCTCTGTTTAATACCACGCGGTCTGTTATTACATTTCATAAGGTTTGTATTTATTTGAACACAACCATTGGTACAAATGAGTAACAAAATATATGCGCCACAAAACATTTGTGTTAAAAACAGCAGGTATTTTTCTTAGGGAACCAGTCCCCGAGCCTTTGACCTAGTTCACAAGGCAGAGGGGCAATGGTAAGATATGTAGTCTCATGGTAACCGGTGACCAAGGTTTACACACCATTTGTTCCATCAGGATCCTGGAGACCATGTACACCATTAGTCAAGAATCAGGGTTTTCCAACTCCTTTATGTGGATCCTTAGTACCCACCAACCCAGTCTAAGCGCCGGACATTTATATTTCGTCCTCTCAATTTCATAAACAACGACTCTGTCGTGAGAAAGTAGAGAGTAGGACTTCTCTGGCAGTGGCTATATAGGCGTAGCCATATGATAACATTTTAAAGGGGAAGGCGGACTCCCCCACCCTCAGCCGTGCTGGGGCATATAAGGGCTACAATCAAAGTTAACCACCCTGAAGTTAGTTCTAAGGACACGTCGACATAAACATTAAAAAAATATTCAAAAACACAATTGGAGTTCAAGGGTATTTACTTATCCTATTTTTCCAAACAATAAACTTGAACACTTCAAAGACCAAGAGAAGTATAAAGAGCATTTTAGCTTGTAAATCAATGTCCCTTACTTTAATGATACTGGCATTCACAACTATAATCAACTTATGATCAAGACAGAAATTCATCATTTTAAAACGTATATGTTACTAAGGTCATGTGTCCTATATGAGAAAGAAAATATTTCATGATTAGTTAGCGTAACAATTTTGAATATCAATAATTTGAGTACAAAGAATTATACAAACCTAATTGTTTTGCAACTGCTGGAGGAAACATTCGTGATGCAAATGTTCGTCGGAATATAGCCGAAAATTCTTTATCCAATCCACCGATACCCATTTGATTAAAATCCCAATTTGGATTGATGATACTATGATAGCCACCACCACCTCCGATAGAACTAGCTCCATCGTCATCCAATGCAGCTTTACCAATCAACAATAATTTAGAATCTGGTTGAGGCATCCAACGAATTACTGTATTCCCAGTTAACATGCCAATCTGTTGATGATAGTAGTAAGAATAATGCGGACAATAGTATAATCAATCCGTTCACAAAATATCGATAAAAAGAGATCATAAGAAACATTAGAATACCCCTTATGAATTACACTTTTAATAAACATTAGACAGTGACTGAACCTTCTGTCAATCAGATTTTAATGTTACGGAGAGAGAATCAAGTCTTTGCCGATTATTCTACTTATTACCTGATAAATATACTAAAAAATAGTGTATGAGCTCAATAACTCAACTGAGAAGCAAGGAGTTAAAATAAAACTTGTTGAGTATAGACTACGTGTGTCTTTTACTTTTATAGACCAAGTTTCATAGCCATAGAGCGGAGTGCTGAGCAGTACACTTGCCCTTTAGTTAGAACACGGACATCTTGCCCACACCCCAAAAGATGAAAAAATTAAAGGACAACCCATCCTCCTAAATTCTTTGCCAGGATCTTGTCAAATACCAACAAACCAGAGCTAATAAAGCTGCTAAGATAAATGAGGTACCTTCCTCGCTTGGGAACAAACCATTCCAACCTATGAAATGGACTTCATCTATGTATTTAACAATAAGTAATTTATGAAGTTGATTTGGAAATAAAAGAGCATTTGTTGTTCGAACAACCTTAAAACTGGTTGACGAAATTCAATCCCTACCCTATTAAGTGCTACATTCTAAAATTATTTCTGAAAACAAGTAGTTCCATTACGATATTATACAAAAAACATTGTGTAGGTAGACTTACTTTACTATTGTCAACATCTCCGCCATCCATTGACAAAGCTTCAAAATAAACACAATAGCATTTAGTATAAATATAATTCAAATAAGAGTTATATAAGGAAGAAATTATCATTTCATAACAATTAATCTGATCTTGAGACAATTTTAATAGGCTGAATAAAAAGATAAAACAATTAGCGATAGATTTAATTCATTTCTGATTATCTTTCAACTGATCACAATCTGTGAAAAAAATCGTGATCAATCAATGTAAATATCTCAACCCTACAGGGGACGATAACGTCTCGCATAGCTCAATGGTAACGTGTCTCAGACTGAGAAGCTGGATAACACAGGTCCACATTCCACGAAGACTAACAGTTTTTCTGAAATTAAAAGTACGCCTAGCTGACGAGCCCTAATTAGGACGAAATTTAGGTCAAGTATGGTTTCCTACCACCGACTCTTTCCAACTAACTAACAAGAAGTAAACTACACAAAGATATTTAACCGCTTAACCTAAGTCTAGTGCATTATATAAACTGATCTTGATTACTTCTCTAGTGATAAATTAATGAACTTTTATTGCTCCTCTAGTTAATTTCATTATTTCTCTTAGTTTTCTTTTTCTCATTTTACTACAGAACAAACTATGTCAACCTAATCAACTATTGTATGAGATTTTATTTCATTCTGTTTATCCTAATGATAAGCGCTAGTTGGTTGACATTTTCTATCGTTAGTCAGTGCACATACGATGAAATAAAAAGTACGGACGCTCATACTAGAGGTTGCGCAGTTAGTCAATCAGTCAGTCACAACGTAGAACCTGGTACGTATGTTTATAGGTTCAAGTTGTGATACCTCGTTGATATAGAGAGGTTGTCAGACCAAATCTCAGAACAGTAAAGATAGTAACAGTATCAGTGGTGATTGAAAAAATTAGGCATCGAAGATACGATTCGAGAATATATTGAAATAAAAAATGAGGAATTTAGAAGCTTAGAATTTAGAGAAAGACAAGGAATGGATGTAACTGCACCACAGATAACGATTTTGAGCCATTTCATTCAAAGTCACTGATCATCGGTTACGGTAATCAGGAGGACCCTAACTAGGTAAGGCACTTAAAGGATAAAAATTGGAAGATGGATTGAAACCTTTTACGAAACAAACGTTCGCTCGTGACTGTACAAATCTTCAGCGAAAACTAGACGTTAGAACTACTCCAGCTTGTATGAAATAATCAGTTACAAGGTAGTATTCATATATTACAAAATCTAAGAGATCGACCATAAAAAACTTTACTTCTAAACAAACATTGCAGGAGTTGTGTATGTTATTACTTACTTGACAATTTCTTAACCTCAACAAGGAAAGTCATTTTGTTAAACCGATAAAGAATATGCTGACCAACGGTCAATGGTGTATCTGCAAATTGCATGCTGAATTCTAGAGCCATTCGATCTGAATCCAATGGCTCATTGATCGACCTGGGAGATTTAAAACGAAAAATTGTTGGGATGTCAAAAAATTAAGAGAGAGAAGTGGCTATTACGCCACGAATAATGTATACAATATTGAGACAACGGAATAAGTTTTAACAGCCAACTTTCCTCCATTTATAAATGCAAGTAAACAGACATCGTCATATTTTTAGCAAGATTTTTTCCTATGGGACGAGGTTGCCAAACTTATGCCCAACCCTCCTCCTTTACCCTGGCTTAAGACCGGCAGTAACTCTAGAAGAGCTACAGGTGGAGTTAGTATATGACATGAATCAAATATATCACAGCATACATAAAATGCTAACCACCATCCATCATGACTTACAATGCTTGTGACTTAAGGCAATATCGAGGCAATACGCACAGTATGCACATATGCCAGTAGGAGACTGATCAATTACAGTCCTAAACAAAAATAGGAAGATACAAGCAAACAATACCAAGTAAATTTATACTATGAACATTGTTAGCGTTGATTGGATAACCTATTTAGTATACAGTTAACCAGAAAACAATGTACTTATTTGTATTCGATAATTTTGATGTTTGATTATATTTCCTTGAAAAAGCTTGGACAAGATTGCCAGGAGAAACGTTGGATTTACTTCAAATTCATTCGCTGAGATTTTACAAATAAATTCTTCCTCCTTAAGTTAAAATAGAAGTATATAAACGCATATACTTGGCAAATATGTCACAATATTAAACTATTGCGCAGAACTCACCGACTTACGGCAAATAATTTTTTCTACCTCTTCTGGAATGACTCTTTATAACTGCACCCAAGATGCATACCGTTAATATTTAAGACCTACCGGTAGTGAACTTCACTATTTTCCATTTATAACATCGATTAATTCAACCAGAAAGTTTACATCCATACCTTAATATTTAGTCTGATGTAATACAATAATTGTGGGTTTATAACTGTAAAGCCTGGAGAATTTATGGAAAACAATTCTTTGTTGTGATTTAAAAAAATATTTTATAGGGAATTTCTAGTTACGAAAATATAAAGAGCACCCAATTGTACTGAAGGCTTTCAATGAGTGAGTACCCAAAAAATTGCAACGCATTTGAAAACCTACGCTAATATATAGTTTCATTTATTGGAATGTCTTAATTTTATGCTTGCATTATTACTGATTGTTATCGATTGCTTTCAGTAGAAAATGAAAGTGGATTTCATGTATTTAATCAGTCATCAGCCCACTTTTCGCCTTTCAGATTCTCTGACATACTAACCCTCACATTATCCCAGTACATAAGGTACCTTTAGGCTAGACTGAAAGCTGAAAGTTATACATAGTCCAAAACTCATAGAAGAGAAGATAACGCTTAATTTCGTGTATTGCATTTCTATGTATAAACAATAAAGTTGACAGATACAAATAAAATTTACGCCAGGATTTTAACAGAATAGGTTTTTAAAAAAAAATAAAACTCTATTTTAGCAACACTCACATTTTTTTATTATTAAGATCCACAGCCAAAACTGCAGAAGCTAAACATCCACGAGCCAAATTAAATGTGTATGGTTGAACATCTAAAGGTTCATCTACCGAAATATTGCCCCATTTACGCTGTGAATAATTTGAGAATGATAATAACGAAATTACTTATACAGGATATACGATCAAATAGTTTTACAAAACAAATTACAAGTTATCAGTTGCAGTTCGATTATGTAATGATAAATGTATCAGGTCTAAACTCCAGAAATACATCTCACTAGTAATTACAAATAGTTAATACTTTTATGAGCATTGGTTCCTATGAATTTCTGTTTCAAAAAAATTTCATATACACATCAGCTGCTTTCCATCACCCTATCGTCCAAACCTATGGTATATGGTTAATTTCATACAACAAGCTAGATGACGTACCATTTCAAAAGGAAATAAATTAAGAAAGATATCTACTTAAGCTAATAGAAAGAAGATAGATAATGACTACCATTAAATGATCAGGTTAATTATTTATTCAAGAGTCTTAAGAATAATAAAACTTTTCAACATAATTGTACAAGTCTCTATAAGAACATTTTTCACACAGACTAAAATGGCTAACTGATAAATAAATAGAGTATTCTGCCCACTTTTATTCCTTCATGACTACAGAACAAGAGGAGGTATGTGTAAAATGCATGTAACTGACTATAGATGTGTTATAAGTACTGCTCGTTTATAAGAGACTGTAGTGTCTAGTACTATGTCAAGTCTACATGGGTTATTCTAGATTTACTTGAGGCATTCCGACCCTGTCAATTGTTCGCTCACTAAACTTGACTGTTTTTATATGCACGTGTTTGCGTGTATCGCTTACCCTATTCATCACATGCCTTTGGCTTATTTTTATCAGACTACAAATATTGAATCATGCTTGATCAAATTGAGTTGGCGCACTTGCTATCGCTTCATTTTCCTGCTTTTTGTCCATCTGGGTCAACGAGTGCCTGGAATAAATTCATCGAACTTAATCTATATTTGCCTTCTTATTGCCGCTATCGCACAAACAGAATTAATTTGGGTGTAATATACGGAGTTCAAGATAAGATTTGCATTCATGACATATTCATTTGTTCTTTCAAATAGAAGTCATACCATGGGCCACAAAAATATCTTTAAGTGAGTGCTTATATTGAAATCAAAAAAACCTCTAACTGAAGGTGTTAAACCAGTTGATGAAAACGTGGAAATTCAGTTGATCAAATTGGTTGAAATACAAGTTACACACAACAAGCTCCTTCCTATCTTAGAGTATAATGGCGATTTGTAACCATTATAATAAACATATAAAATAAAGCACACCAATACGTATTACTGAATTTTTTCGAACATAAAACTTAATGCATAAACTTCTTTAAGAGATAACTTGCTTTACATATGAGTGTAAAGCTAACTCCCTAAATTGACATTCGATTTATTTTAGAAATGCTATTATTTATTTTATTTATTTAAACACATAAATATTGGTACAAAGGGGCACCAGATAGATATGCGTCACACAAATCTCATTTGATTTGTGTGAGGGCTGAGATACTACTCAGGTGCCCAGACTGAAGCAGGTGGTTTTCTTAGGGGGCCACACCCCGAGCCTTTGACCTAAACGTCTGATCCACAAGGCAGTGGAGCATCGTGAGGAGATGCAGTCCCATGGTAGCCGGTGACCAACAATAGGTTCATACGCCATTCGTTCCATCAGGATACTGGAGACCATGTGCACCATTGGTTTGGAATGAGGGTTTCCCAACTCCCCTAGGTGGACCCTCCATGTCCAACAACTCGGTTAAAGCGCCGAACATTCGCTCTTCGCCCTCTCACTTTCGTAAACAACACCCCCGCCACGAGAAGGCAGTGAGTAGGACTTCCCTGGCAGAGGCTATATAGAAATGCTAACAGGTGAATATATATACTACTTGATAAAGTAATCAGGATCACAGAAGCAAATAGAGATAGGATGATTTATAAGTTTGAATATTTACAAAGACTTTGAGAGTACGCGTAGAGGATGAGAAGAAAAATCATGTATTGATTTTTTCAGATAACCATTTTCTCGATAATTGGAAATATTATACAAGGGACAGAAAAATAGGATTAAGGACAGACATATCATTTTTGTATGTCTACGTTATATCAGGTAGTTTAGATAAGTACAGAGAAATAATAGAGTACAAGGTGAGATAATTTTTAATGAAATAAATTACAATCCAAGTAAGCAATGATCTCAGACCGAATAAAACAAGATCCAGTGAATTTGGACAATATCGGAAGTAAGACAATTCCCCTTTACGATAAAAGATTATTGTCGTCTTATATCGCGAGCGGACTGAATACGAACCATAGAATTCTGACTCACTGGTATACGAGACCTAAAGGCTCTGTTGATAAACCTCATACTAAGACAGACAGATGACTAAAACTCCCTGTATTTGCAGAGGTTATTCAACTGGGGGTCAACTTATGATAAAAGTCACCACTGAATAAAACAAGTATTATTACAAGTATTATTATTATATCACAACGTAGAACTTCGTACGTACATATATCAGTTCGAGTTTCCATACCACATCAGCACAGAGATGCAGTTGTCGATTCAAATCTCATGGTGGTAGGAGTAGTAAGAGTTTAAGCAGTAATTCGAAAGGTTAGGGTTTGAAGATGTTATTCAAGGAGTCAGTCAGTCAGTCAGCTACAACGTAGGACCAGGCACATATATGCATCGGTCCAAGTTGCCATACCTCTTTAGCACATCAAGATGAACACCGGATTCATAGAAGCAATTAATTTAGTGGTGGTAGTATATAAAGAAAGATTGTATAGAAGGATATTCAAGGAGTATAATCCAGTGAAATAAATTTGGAAAGAGAAGAAAGATAGAGACATGAGGAATTCAGAAGATTAGAATTTGGGAGAACACAAAGTGTGGATGCACCTTCGCCATTGCAAACGATTTTCAGCCATGTCATTCAAGGTCTCTAACCATCGGTTGTTATCATTTCACAAATCACAACCAGGTAGTCTACACCTATCAACATGGCTCAGTCCAATTATCAGTGACTTCATCGACTTGTGCCACGTTTTGGTCTGGCCGCCACTAGCTTACCTCCAACATACTCCTACAACATAAAACGTTGCACGTCGGGGCAGTCGGCGGTTGGGTATACGTAACACGTGTCCTAGCCACCTCAAATGATAAAGTTTCACTACTTCATCAATGGATTTGCCATCCCTACCTAGCACACATTTCCTAACAACTGCATTACTTACTCAGTGGTTTCAGGATATACGAGCAATGTTTCGAAGACACCTATGATCGAATATTAGTAGCCTACGAATATCCTCTACTTTTATCGGCCATGTTTCACTGCCATTAAATAGGACGAAACGAACTGCTGCATAGTAAACCCGTCCTTTGGTTGGTAGACGGATATCTCGTCTACACCATAAATGATGCAAGTTGGCGAAAGCTAGACGAGCCCTCTATATCCGTGCTGAGATTTCGTCACACACCAGACCACAAGGGCTGACGAGACTATCAAGATAAGTGAAGCGATCAACAAGCTCAACTACTTCACTCCCTATCATTAGTTCAGGTGTCGATGCAACCGAATCCTGAAGTACCACGCTTAATACTTGTAGTGTGCATAAGCCTGCAGTTAGAATTAATTTTATAATGAACCTTTTTATTCACATGTCGTCCCATCAAATTTTCCTGTTCTCTTCTTTCTGCTTTATTAATTTATTTCAGTGTAACTAAGTCTAAGTTTCTATAATCGACTTTTAACCACACAATTTTTTCATAGGGTCTAACAATACTCCTCAGTTATGCAAACTAAAGTAGATAGTGAGAGTTTCTAACCTTTTTGAAAGTAGTGCGCTTCAACCAACAGATCACAGTCTGAATATCAGTTTATTACCACGTTTACTGAACACTTAATTTATTGAGCCTTTTTTTATTTGATACAGATCAGTCAATTTCTGATTCTCAAACATATAAAACACTGACAAAAACCTATGAGTGTTGCTGAGTATTATTGAAATACTATAGTTGCTCAAAAGTGTTACTCTGAAATTTAATAAATTTGTAAAACAATCATAGTGAGCATATAAAAAGTATACACACTGTCACTTTAGGGTTCACCAGGCCATGTAGAGTGAAACAACTGATATAGACGTATAACAAGACCGATATTACCGCAGAAATAATACTTCCTTTATACTGAAAACATAAACGAGTCAAGTTCAACCCCTTATCTCTATGACTATGGCAGTCAATTAATCTAACATGACTGTAAGAGGTGTTACGTTAAAATTCTTCCACCTAATTAGAAATCTCGAATACTAAATAATTAAGGTTTAAATTACTTGTTTTGTTTTTATAATGATATAATACTATAAAACCCTGCAATAAAGTGCAGATTTACCCAGATGACTTCCTTTATAACTAGAACCAATAAGTAGACCTGTAATTCTTTTGTTGTACCTTGCTTCTATACAAGAGACTAATGCATTTTGAACGAACAAATTGCATATGGATACTGACCTCAATAACGGCAATTAAGGTGACAATATATGCTAAAAGCATACTATACTGACAACCGTCAGTGAACAGATCAGCATTAAGACAGCGGCTAATGAAATTATTTGTGCGAAATTCGAGGGAAAAAAAGAAAGTATGTCACCAGGATCTAATTTAAAAATCGACAGAATTTGGTCACTGAAATTGTAGTGTCGGTTGCTATGCTAAACACACACAGCTTATTTTAGCTTCCGTACAGGCTTATTCATTCATTCTTCCTAAGCCACATTTCGACCTTGTTAATTATTCGCTTATCAATCGTAACTGTTTTCATATAAGCGTACGCGTGTGCACTTCCTATCTTGTTCATCACATGTCTATAATGTATTCTTATCTGACTATAGATATTGATTAACGCTTGATTACACCGACTTGGCTCACTCGCCTTCCCTATCGCGCGTCATTCTGTTTTGCACCACTTTCCGATCAACGATTGAATGGAATACATGTATTTGAAATCCACTTTCGTATTCGACTTATTTAATTCCGTTATCCACAAATGCGATTTAAGTCGATGATTATGTACGAGGATGGCCAGGATGTATATTTTGACAGCAATAATTCGATAACAACCAAAAACGATCAAGCTGGAGTCAGATTTACGGCCACTAAAAATGTGTGAAAGCGGTAAAAAGAATACTTATTATCCAACCAGTGGACATGACGTAGTGTTGAAGCTAAATTGTAAGAAATGACCTCTAACGCAGATTGTATATTCTAGTATTTGATGTGATTCAAAATGTATTCAAGTGTTTATGTAGGTATATAGTTCTCTCTCACGTTAATTCTTAACAACCCCAACATTAAGTTTATAAATAAGAGTGGTAAGGCATCATTGAATAATATCTAGTGTCAGTTGGTGCTGTCAGCCTTAATCCTAATTTTTGATACCAACCCATAACTCTACCTTAATTCCTAATAACTAGCTTTGACTTTTCTTCATCAAAGTTGATGTTAATTGGTGGCAAAATCCCTATGGATACCCAAGACTACCCAGACTGCTAATAAGCGAACTTAACCTTCTTACTTTACTCTAATGAATGTTTCAACACGAAAGAGTCAGTTAGTCATTTCAAAACTATTATTTTACCATAATTATTTTGCTTTTTCTTAATTTGAAAAATTCCCATATTGTGATTTAGAGCAACATATATAAGCGAACAATATTGTTTTCGATTAGATCTTCATCAGGCTTTACTCTAATATACAGTAATATTTATATGCATATACGAAATTATTATTATTTCTTGTCAATTGTTTTGGAACTAAACACTACTGATTTATAACTGACTGGTTGCTGAGTAGCAACCACTTATGTTTGTCAAGTTCCACTCACAATAGGACCACAGTCCTGATCAAATACTGCCGACTGATTCGGGACTTGCCGTCAGATTAAGTGACTAGTAATCATCTACCTCCAAATGCCCTGGTACGACCAAGAGTAGGGAGAGTCCGCTCTCCCTCTCCAAATGCTCTCATGTGGCCACGCGTATATACCCTCTGCCACACAAGTCTTACTCACTGTTTTCTTGTGCCAGGAGTGTTGTTTACAAAGCTGAGAGGAGGAAAAGAGAATGTCCGGCGCTTTAACCGGGTTGGTGGATACGGAAAGTTCACCTAGGGGAGTTGGGAAACCCTCATTCCAAACCAATGATGCACATGGGCTTCAGTATCCTGAGGGAACAAATGGCGTATGAACCAATCGTTGGTCACCGGCAACCATGGGACTGCATCTACTCACGATGCTCCACTTCCTTGTGGATCAGACGTTTAGGTCAAAGGCTCCGGGTGTGATCCCCTAAAAGAACCACCTGTTTCAGTTTCAGCACTTGGGCAGTATCATAGCCCTCACACAAATCAAACGAGATTTGTGCGGCGCATATATATCTGGTGCCCGCTTGTGCCAACATTTATGTGTTTAAATGATAATAATAATAACGAGGTGCAAGCTTGATGGACTTAGTTCAGAGAAAAAGAGTTTAATATGAATGACTCTGGCTGATACTGAGTGGCTCATCAAGAGTATATCTAGGTTTTGCAGGGGTTTAGTCACTGTCCGAATAGCTCAATGGTGGCGCCTTTACATACAAACTTGAGTGAAACGCGATCGAATTCGGTTGCTGACAAGTTCCAGATGATACAAAACCTAAGTTCGGGGTTTCCTAGTGACTATATTTAACCACTATCTTGCTTTTTTAGTTAAATGATGGATTTTTCAAGGTCATCAGTATGATGAACTACCTATGATTTCACATTTGTTTAACGAACTGTCAACCTGAAAAACCAGTGTGAAAAAACAAAAGCTAACCTGAGCCAAACCGAACGCAACCTTTCCTTGAGGGACATGATCGTGTGAACCACCACGAAATACATATTTATCAGCCGCAGTGTGTATTGCCACACAACTAAGGAAAATGTTTGCAAATATTATATAAAACATACCTAAGCTTTTCATTAAAATCTTTCGGATTGAAAAACACCCTATTAGTTAGTGAAACCTCTTCATTTGGTGCTTTCGTAGCAAAGAACTTCATTTTGGAAACAATTGTATCACGACCTAGAAAAACGAGCTATGCGCCTTAAATGTACAACCGGAAAACTTTGCCTGCTTCAAAAACTGAAATATTCTTCAAGAACACAGGGCGAAGAGGTTGTGCTTGCTTTTTTCTTGCATGCATACGTGCTTTTTAAGTCTTTTACAGAACGGCCTGACGAATATAAGAGGTGCCTGATATAAGGTTTTAATGAACCTGACATTAATTAAACAGAGAAGTCAATTGTATGGTAAGAAAACTCTCTCTGTAGTAGACGTTTAACGACTACGATGGAGCATGTTTTAGCACACCTTATATCTGAACCCACACATTTTTGTTCAATTCAAGTATCTTTTTTAAACCTAGTAATCACTCACGTGACTGAGAATAATGCCTAATCAAGTAATCTCCCACTTTTTGCAAATGGAGATCGTACGTTTGGTCATTCACATTAAGGGTTCTTTGCATTGTATTTATTCAGGTCAAGTCATGTCCAAATATCTGGGGACAACCATACAGGGCTGGTCAAGAAATACTAACTCTGTTGAAGAAGCATGAGCTATGTTTAAAGTTATAGTTAGTCTAGTTACATCCCCATGTACACCAAGCTCAACATCACGTTAACCTCACATTTACCCTCTACAACTACCCATGAATGGAGACGAAAATGAACAAGGGTCACTCTTGACAATATTATGATGTGTCCCCATTACTTTTGATATGAAAAAACCGTTTGATATTAGCAAGAAATGACGTTAAGAATAGTGGAACTTCATTGGAGCGCTTAAGTTATGTGTTTTCTATCGAACATGGTGTAGGATCAGCAATTACTTGTGATAACTGAGGCTTGTTGATAGATTCTATGGCTGTTGTGAAGAGAGCTGTCTTACGATTATATTTCAGGCGAGATAAGTCCAGTGGTTTCTATGATGTTCATCCTAAGATCATAAAGGCTATATAGGATGTAGTTTTCGGACCTCTGGCGAAAAGGTGTGGTGTGTCTTTGAGGCAGTAAAAACTGCCAAGAAACTGGAAATACGTAATTATCTGTGCAGCCTAAAAAGCGGGCGGGGACAGCTAGCCAGTTAGTAACAATCGACCCATTAGTGTAACTAGTGTAGCCGTCAAACTGATGGACAACACTGCTTGGATGGCCATTCTAAACTATGTGGGAGGAAATGATCTTTTAGGTATGGAACAACACTGTTTTATAAAGGCTTGTCATGCTAGACAAATCAGCCTATCGCAAGAGAAGATTGGGCTTTAGCGAGAAATAATAATATCTAAGCAGTTGTATGTTCCGTAGATCTAAGTACAGCCCTTGACAAAACCTCTTATCTGGGTCTTAAATTACAACCCGAAAGTTTTGAGATCCATTATGAAATCACAGGCTGAGTAAGTAACTTTCTCAATGATTGGTGGTTACAGATAAATGAGTCTCCATCAGTGTGGAATTCCTCATGGTACAGTCCTCGGTTTCTTTTTGTTTACTTTATTTAAATAACTTACTAACTACAGCAAAGTCATCTGTTTTACTCTCTTCGGATAACACAAACATTTGAAGATCCATACGTAGCAGGTTGGATAGATAAATATTACAGGATGACCTGACGTCACTGGTTGGATGGATGGATAGGTAGTCATCGGAAGTAAATTCTGACATGAGTGTGATGGTGCAAAAAATAACTTATATAATTACTCCTGTTACCCCTCGCCGAGGAGCATAGGCCGCTCACCAGCATTCCCCATCCAACTCTGTCCTGAGCATTCCTTTCCAGTTCTTTACAGTTGCTGTTCATCCTTTTCAATCCTACTTCTATTTCCCGGCGTAATGTGATCTTTGGCCTTCCTCTTTTCCGCTTCCCTTCACCATTCCAAGTTAGGGATTGAGTCGTGATGCACATTGGTTATTTCCTTAATGTATGTCCGATCCACTTACAACGTCTTTTTTTAATTTCATCTTCAGCTGGAAGCTGGTTTGTCCTCTCCCATAAAACGCTGTTGCTGATAGTATCCGACCAGTGAATGCTGAGTATTTTGCGTAAACAACTGTTTATAAATACTTGTACCTTCTTGATGATGGATGTAGTAGTTCTCCACGTTTCAGCTCCATACAGTAGAACTGTCTTGACGTTCGTATTGAAGATTCTCACTTTGAAGTCAGTTGAAAGTTGTTTTGAGTGCCATATGTTCTTCAATTGTAGAAATGCTGTCCTTGCTTTGCCAATCCTCGCCTTTACATCTGTATCAGATCCTCCTTGTTCATCAATGATGTTTCCCGTGTACGGGAATGTTTCAATATTTTCCAGAGTTTCGCCATCAAGTGTGATTGGGTTGGTGTTCTCCGTGTTGCATTTGAGAACCTTGCTTTTTACTTTGTGAATGTGGAGGCCTATCGATGCGGAGGCTGCTGCTACATTTGCTGTCTTCATCTGCATTTGGTCGTGTGTATGAGAGAGGAGGGCTAGGTCATCTGCGAAGTCCAAATCATCTAATTGATTCTGAGCTGTCCATTGTATTCCGTATTTCCCTTCAGATGTCGAATTCTTCATAATCCAGTCAATCACTAGAAGGAAGAGGAATGGGGAGAGTAGACAGCCTTGTCTGACTCTGGTCCTTACTGGAAATGCATCTGTCAGTTGTCCTCCATGCACCACTTTGCACTGTAGTCCATCGTATTAGTTTTGGATAATGTTGACAATCTTTTCAGGAACTCCAGTGTCGAAGAAGTTTCCATAATGTTCTCCTGTCCACGCTGTCAAACGCCTTCTCATAGTCGATGAAGTTGACGTATAGTGATGAGTTCCACTCAACTGATCGTTCAACGATGATCAATAGTGTCGCAATCTGGTCTGTGCACGACCGATCCTTACGGAATCCAGCCTGATGATCCCTAAGTTCAGCGTCTACTGCGTCTTTCATCCGATTCAGCAGCACTCTGTTGAAAACTTTCCTGGTACTGATAACAAACTGATGCCTCTGTAGTTCTCACATTGGCTCAGATCTCCTTTGGTATCTTGATGAGATATCCTTCTTTCCAGTCCATTGGCACTTATTCCTTCTCCGAAATCTTCTTGAATAGAATGTGAAGCATGTTTGCAGTTATTTCAATGTCTGACTTCGGTGCTTCTGCTGGTATATTGTCAGTTCCTGCCGCCTTCCCACTTTTGATTTGTCTGATGGCCATCTTGACTTCTTCGATCGTTGGTGGAGTGACATCTCTTGGAAGGTCAGTGTGGGCTGCTTCGATGTTCGGTGGATTCAATGGGGCTGGTCTATTCAGCAGTTCCTCGAATTATTCTGCCTATATTTTCCTCTGTTCTTGAATCTCAGTGATTGTTTTTCCTTCTTTGTCCTTGACTGGTCTCTCTGGTGTGCTATATCTCCCTGCCAATTTCTTCGTCGTATAATATAGTTGTTTCATATTCCCTTCTCTTGCAGCTTTTTCCGCCGTCGTTGCTAGTTCTCCCATGTATTCGTGACCGGAGTACAGCAGCATCTCTCCTGTACCTAGCCTTTGTTGTCCAGTTTGTGTCCAATGGGTTTCGCTGATTCCGAGTACTGTCAAGTTGTATCTCCTAATTTCCATTGCTATTTGACTGGTCTTTCCTGTCTCCCACATTGTCCGGACGTTCCATGTACCTATAAAGAGTGTTGCTCTAGTTGTTAGAAGGTGCATCGGTCTCGTGACTTCCGAAAAATTTCGACTTTCATCATGAGATGTCATAATTATTCCTTCAACTCCCAGGGCAGAGTTTAAATGGTTTGAATTATTTTTTCTGGTTAGCGTTTTTTTAGCGAGTTAATTTTTCTACGGGAAGGGGTCGCTAACCCCATACCCAACCCTCCTCCTTTACCCGGGCTTGAGACCGGCAGTAACTCTAGAAGAGCTACAGGCCGAGTTAACTGCTATGATTTATATCATTACACGGTATAAGGAGTTGTGTTATTTGAAGTAATGAACTATAAAGATATAAGAGTCATAATAGGCCACGACCTCGAAACAAAGAGTACTTACAACGCTGTTGATGTCAAAGATTTCACGGTTTTTTGGTGTATTTGCAAGTCATTTCAGTGCTTAGAAAAAAAGCGTTTTCGATATCACACCCGACTTTGTGAGTTTCTATTTGGAATACGGAACTGAAGAAGTGAGTCCTTGTTTCAAGTATGAGGTGTATATGCTAAGACGAGTTCGATGGATAGAGACCAAAATGGATAAGTATCACTCTTGACAATCTTATGAAAATAAACTGAGACCCGTCAACTTATTTCTGCCATAGTACCACAGGTTAGAGGTGGGTGATTTAACACTGGCTTATCATATACTGGACGGTGATCTTGGTACTGATATGTCGTGTCTTTTTCTTTCACATAGGACTAATCAACTGAGGGGACATTCAAAGAAAGTTCAAAAGCTGAGATCAAACAATTACGTCTGGAGTTCCCTTTTTAGCACTGAGTAAATAAATCTTAGAATTCTGTTAAGGCAAGTAATATTAGCATATTCTGCTGGTACATTCGAAGCGAAATGAAGTCTTCATAGTTTTGCAAATACAATATATTCTTGTTCTCTGTTCATAAACATGCCTATTAAACTAATGACGCATTTCGCGTCTCTTTTATTCCTATTTCCTTGGTTTCTTCCTTTCCTTCTCTAAAATCAATTTAATATCCTTCTCAATTACACAGAACCTGATTTGTTATTATTATTCTATCACTAATATTCTCTTTTCCTTTTTCTTCTTTCTTTTCTCTTTTTCAAATATGGCAAAATAATGCTAACATTATTGAAACTTGTGTATGATTAAATTTTTGAAGAATCCTGGTATGGTTTATTCACAACCCACAAGATGCCTGTGAATAATAATAATTAAATTCTAGTAACGCCAAATGTTTTGTGCGACCCCATGTACTTACTCTTTTGATTTACCTGGTTTATCTCATAGTCATTTTTATGCAATCATTTATTGTATTTTTCGGAGATGTAAATTTGTTAGGTTGTAGAATTATAGTCTAATATATTATCGGTACTATTTTTAATA